AGAAAATGCAGAAATCCTGCAGGTTGTATGCAACGTAGAGAACAACGCAACCCCTTTGTGTAGGATGGCCGAAGGAACATTTTCCCCCGAGGCAATAAGACAAATAGGATATCCCATCTACAGGAGCACTACCTGTCACTCTTCCCTCAACAGACGGGTGTGTGAGAGACACTTGCGCTCACTCTCTCTCCCCTTGTGTGTGTATATGTGCATCAACACTGAATAATAATTTATTTTATAGCGTTATGTGATATTATTCTGCATAGCAGTAGTAAATGTTGCCGCTTGAAAATACAATATTTTATGATGATGGAGTATCACCTGACTCATCCTTTCATTGGTGGCCATGCGCATTTCAGCAGGTAGTGTGTCCATGTTTTGTACTAAGGGCATTGCTGCTATCAAAGCAAGGTCGGGTCCAGTCAACCACTCTATATATTGATAGGTGAACATGACCGGCCTACATAACATCTATTTTGTCAGTCATCAAAAACAAGACATTTAATCACAATTTACAAAATTAACAGTGTCTTGAAAAGCTCCAGTAAGTGGAAGTTTAAGCCAGGGTCAGTTGATTTCACGGTCCCTGGCAAATTTACTCAGCTGTAGCCAAGTAACAGTCCTTTTGTGAGCTGTTAAATCAATTTGTAAACATGCTCAGCCATTGCTAACTTGCACCACAAAAGGTAAGCTCAGTGGAATGGTTAGTCCTGATAAAGTGTGTTTGTATAATATTAGACACACACACACACTTAAGGTGAACTTTGAGAATGCATTGTTGCATAGAAAGGACTGAATTTTCTTACAGTGTAGTCGCTCCTTAAAAGTATTTCTTCACGGTAAGTATGGAGACAAGGGATTACTACATCGTCATATAACTCTTTCAACATACATATGAGAGTACTGCATTAAAATAGACTTGAATCAGAACCTTTTCTTTAAAAGTATGAAGAAACGCACAGTATTTTTGACTAGTGACACTTGTGCACAACGCTGCCAGCATGAGGGCTTCTTTTTCCACTGAGACTACCCATGTACTAAAAAAATGTACTGGATAAGTGCCTACCAGAAAGCACAAGTTATTTTAATATTAGCTGTTAACAGCACAGTTGCGGCAGTGAGGTACACTCTCATGGGAAGCAACATTTTCTTGTACATCAGGCATCAGTGCCACACTGACTATTAGAAGGTTATGTCAAATATTTTAAGTAGTAAACACCACAGCAGGCCAACGTACGGTCAGTGTTCTAGAGCAATAGTTCAGAAACTCTTTCTTTCGTTACTTTGATGTATCCATCAAAAATAAAAATAAACACAGGTCCCACAATAAAGAACAGGGATAACGTAAGACAAGTTGAATGCTGTCTTAAAAACCTGACAGTTTATCATCGTTTCTTGACCTTGTTTTTGCAGGATTATAGTATACATCATGTCTCTGTTTTGTCATCACTGTATGTAATTCTATAAAACTCACTGCTGCACTGAAATATGAACACTGTAGGACATTGAAGTCTCCTTATGTAACTTTGTTAATTATGTATTCAACTACCATTAATTCTCCAAGACACACAGATGTAACCTCTGTAGGTTAAGTTCCACTTTCATATGCACCCCTGCTGAACACTAGCTTCCTAAACAAAATCAACTCTTCAGAAAACATGAACAAACTTTTACATTGAAAGGAGTCCATAAGTAGTTGGGTGAGAGAGAAATGTAGGCTAGATGATGTATAAAGTCAGACTTGAAATATAGCCACAACTATTTCCATGACAAATATGTCCCAGCGCACAATGTTTAAAAAAGTTGCATTTCACGATAGCTCTTTTAGCTTCCTCCATCCAGCAGTTTGGACTTACGTAGCCAAGAAATTTGTCATTCAGGTCACCATTACTTCAAAGGGTGCTTGCTTTAGCAGTAGCCAAGTTTTCAATTAAAATCATGACAGCTTGAGTGAAAAAAAATCCATTGCATTTCCAAAAATGTTTTGGAAATTTCACATTCTCCAGGGCTTTTCCAGGCCTGGAAGAAAACATTAAATTTGCACAACTAGAGAGAACATTCAATTTGTAAAACATTCATGAAAATGTTGGGACTCTGAAAGCCCCTGCCTCTGCTTGGGGGGGGAGGGGGAATGTAAATTCACTTTTTAAAAGTCATGATTCAACATAAAGAGTCTAAGGTGATAAGCTGCTGGACAGTTGGCTATGTGAATGCATCTTATTGTTGTTAACGCTGATGTTTAATGCATCGTTTTGTGGCTGGAGAATGCTAGTGGGGGTATCTTTGCTGGCGCTGCAGATAACGGGATGGCACCACCTTCATCTGTCCCCACGGGGAACATGGCACAGAGAGAGAAAGAACTGAGAGAGAGAGAGAGAAAGAGTGAGATTAAGACAGAGAAAGTCAGAGTGAGGAAGAGCAAACAATTTCCACGTTAATTAGCATCCCTCTCCTCCCCCGCAACACAAACAATGCGGTGCCCAAAGAACCAGAAGCAAACAGGGACAACGCTGCAAGCTCGCTAACTTCAGGTCTCTACTCATCTGTGCTGAATCAGTGGAAGGCAGCACACACATCAAGACTGAGCTGTGGGATTAAGAGCAAGTCAGAGAGAGTGGTGGGAGGCTGGGAGGAAAGAAAATTTGAAGGGGGAGTGAGGAAGAGAGTGGAAGGAACAAGGGATATAGATGGAGAGAGGGAAGCAAGGGACAGAAGAGAGGGGGCAGAGGGAGAAACAACAGAGGGGGAGACGGAGAGCTAGAGATAAAAGGAGAGCATGAGGGAGAGGGAATGAGGATGCGAGAGGAGCAGGGATAGAGGCAAAGCAAAGGATGGAATTAGAGTAGAGAGAAAGAAGAAGGGAGAGTCTAAAAAAGATGAGTTGGGATAGAAAAGGAGAGGAAGCAGAGATGACAGAGGATATGAAATAGGAGATGGTGACCCAGTGATTAAAAAAAAAGAAGGAAAAGGAAAGGGTGAAGGAGGGAAGGTGATAAAAAATATGGAGAAGGTAAAGAGAAAGATGAGCAAGCAACACAGGGAGGAAAGAGAGCAGGGTTGTTATGTTTATGGATTGCTGCGATGCTTGCTTCCTGCAACCAGCAGGAGCAGGTTGCCTGCTTCGAATGCTGACATACAAATATTCAAATGCTGACACGGGTGTATAAACATACAAGCATCATGAGCGAGTAACTGCAGGGTCGGCATTTGTATTCAAAGCGAGTGAGGTGTATAACAGCACTATAGCTTTTAAAGCTGAATAATGTCCAAAATAAACCTCAGTGTGGAAGGTGATTTATTCAGTCGATGCTGAAACTGTTATTGAACATCACTGTATTGGCAAAGGGCTGTTTACAAAAAATGAGAGAATCTTTAGAATCAGCCTTATCAAATTGCTCCTCCTGTACATGGGTGTTGGATCAATAAAAGCAGCATGACTTGGAACAGCCAGCAATTTTTTCAGGACATTGGGGAGAGCGCACAACATGAAAAAGTCCTACTATTCTCCCCCTGGGTTGTAGGCACACACAAACACACTTACAGGACACATGGGAAAATAAAAACACACATTCAGTCAAGCATGCATGGAAAACACTTGTCGACCCAATTTTTGGTCCCTCTCATTTTTAAAATCGATAACACATTACAGCAGTTCCTGAAGAGGGAAGCGGGACCAGAGATTCATCCCAGCTCAGCGCATTGCCAGCAAAACCAGTGTCTCCATCAATTAAAGCAGCATGCTGCTCTGCCAAGAACCACTGACAAATTTATTTTAAATTCTCATCACAATCCATAGGTTTCTTAAGATACCACAAATTGTATGTCAGGGCTAATCATGGGGAAATGTGTGACAAGTAATGCGCAAGAAAACAAATATATTTTCATCTCCTTTCCATCACATGGAATCGTGGGTTTGAATGCATGACTCACTGTTGAACAAGCAGATACCATTACTGTTGGGTGTGGTTACAGGTACCACAAAACACTTCTGACCACATCCAAGCACGTCATTCAGAGGTGCTAAGAAATTTAAGAGGAAAGCCAAGAATACTTCTTATCAGACAGAATGTTTTTTTTTTTATGCCTACAATTTCTGTAGATGGCAACAACAGTTAAGTTTAGGCATCTGAAACTTTGACAAACCTGAGATTAACAATTATTTCTATAAATAACTTTTGTAAGGTGAAAAGGGATTACTACACATTGTACACACTCTTATTATACTGTTTATTTTACTTACCTTCTCTGTTAAAATATATTTTCATATAGGTTAACCATATAACGGCTGTAAACTATTTTATGTGTGAAGTGACTGCTCTATTCTTTTATTTTGCAAAGCACTCTGAGCTTGTGTATGAAAAGGTGCCAGCACATAAATTAATGAATTACTACTACTACACAGATTTATGGTGTAATTTAGGTTATTTTAGCTCATTATTTTGTAGGATGATCATATTGCTCAGCATCTGCACTGTGTAAATCTAGCAGGCTTTATTGCACCAACATATTAACCATGGCAACCTTATTTTGCTTTTCACGGTATACCAGGTTTGTGTGTCTTACAGCTCGATTTCTCTGCTCTTTAGAGGCCGAATGCAAAGAAATTTTCAAGGGATACTGGGCTGTTAACACATTTGTATTTCAGAGCAGTTAGATTTTTGGTAGAACTCCGTTTTGCCCGTTTACTCGGTGGACCATTAGAGACGCCATTAGGTAAGCATCTATGCTTATGTGTGCATGGTGTGGATGAAGAAAAGAGGAGAGTTGCATGTGTGTGCATTTGCCTGTGTGCTGACAGCTAACCAGCTCCTTTAAACCAGTGATGTGCGGGGCTTCTTCATAGCAATGGCTGGTGCGACAGGCACAGCAGAGCAGGTGTGGTGATCCATCTCTCTCTCTCTCACACACACACGTCAAAGGAGACTCCAGCCACTTTAACACCAACACATCTGTGGCTTGGAGTCAGCGAACTGACAGAATTGAAGAGAAGAGCTGCTCACCTGAAGAATGTGACAAAAAACTGCACCAGATCCATGAAGTTACTGTGCTGGGAGAAGGCAATCTACAAAAGAGATGACAGACAGTATCAGAAATCGGCTTTAATAAAGGGATTTAAAAAACAAAAAGGCCATGGTTATACAGTCAAACATGCAAGCTTTAGAATAGTCAACCTTTTAGATCTGACAAAAAGGCACACAAATGAGTGGGGGAGATAATACTGCCTCTGCTCACAAAGGCAGACAGTGTGTGTAATATAATGTGTAGATTTGTATCTATACTTGTTATGTATAATGTTTTTTGTAGTGCGTATATTTCTAGTAGTTGAATCACAGTTTCAGGATATCCCATCGTTTTTCCTTCCTTACTGGGAAGTTCCCAGTCTGTCCGCTTATCTGTGTTCCAGACTGCATGCCTGTCAACGGCAGCAGCCAGGCCTCTCGGCTGCCCACAGCCTGAGCAAAAAAAATAAAAACTCATTCCTGCACATGTGGGCAGACATATTCACTATGTAATCATCACAAGAGCAATTGTACTAACGACATCCTGTCTTAATCAAGGTTGCCAGGGGTAACATTGCCAGTGTCATACCAACTCCCAACCACCTCCTCCTCCATTGCATTTATGCATATAACCCCCCCCCCGAAAATGCCTCTCAGCGAACACTGCTGCAGCAACACAACACTGCCTCTCTCTGGGAACATCAGGGTGCTGCACCTCCTGCCCGCAAGCCAAATTCCCCTCACACATCTTTTCTCGGAGTTGACACCTTGGACCAGAACTTATCACCGCTCCTGCTTATTATTCTTCAGCAAAGCAGGGATTTGCATACAATTCCAGTGAAAAAAAAAGGAGCAGGAGGAAGAAGAATAAAAAAAAGACAAAAGCCGGAAAACCCAGCAGTGTGCATGTCAGATTAGTCTATGAATACTTAATATGTGATCAAGAATTACAATATATGCATAGAAAAACCTGGGTGGATGGATCAGAATGTGTATAAATCTACAGTGACTTTACACATGAACACGACAGAGCCAAAGGCACTGGCCTCTATGGTGAGATGACGGGGTGTGTGTGGGTTTTGTGAACGGCCCGGGGTCTAATTTACTTGTATAGTCAGCACCATCTGGCTCGCTAATGTGTTGCTGTTGATTACTGTTGAGCGCTGAATCCTCAGTGTGATAATTTTCCTCCAGACAGACGAAAACTGAAGAGAAGTTCAGGGTGCCAAATACACCCGGAGAAAACTTTTAAAAATACGTCAGCAGTGTGGTTGAGTGGTTAATTCCCTGGGTATGGCCCTAATGCTGCCAAGATCAAGTGTTTTATGTCAATCAGGGCACAAATAAGTCATTAATTACTGTGAGCATTCAAAGTAATGAATCTCTACCAAAACAAATTATTACTTTCATTATATTCCTCATAGAAAATCCTCACATTTGAGAGGCTGGAGCCAACAAGTGCATGTTATTTTGTTTAGTAAATTCCTAAATGACTCAGTGATTATCAAAATAGTGAAACTAATCAATTAATCTACTTACCGCTTTAGCACTATTCTAAATTGGGGGGCACAGAAAATATGGCAGTGGCAGAGTGAAGATAAAAAAATGTGTGACATGACGTTCTTACTCACTTTTTGACATTACAATCTAAAATACAGCTCCGTTTTCCAGATTCATCCTCGGTGCTTCTCTAAAGTAAGCAGGATTTAAAAAAAAAAAAAAACCTTCACAAAAGTAGTGCAGAGCAATTTCTGGAAGTTTCTAAGAAGCCAATCAGGGACTTGCAATTAAAAGAAAAATCGTTTGGAGGGAAATATTTTCCTTCTTGTGCTCATGAATGTAAATGGGAGGTAAAAAGGATTAAAGAAAAACGACCGAAAACTGTATGAAACTGAGTGGCAGGAATTCTTTTAAGAGCAAAGCTTAGAATTATCAAAGAAAGCATGTCAGCTGGTGTACTGAAACCCGGCTCGCTTTGTGACAACGCCTTAAAAAAAAGCCATCTAATGCTTTAGATGATTGAAGATACATAATGCTCGCTTCTAATGACGCAATACCAATGAACAATGCTAACTTCCACAACACAAAAAGCAATGATCAGAGATTCAGCATGAAGTCACTACTGCCTAACTTCATTTTAAAAAGTACAAGGAGGCTGTCTCACTGAGACGATGTGCGATAACTGTTATTGTAGCAGCTAATCTCAAGTGTCAAGCATATGTGGTGCTTTGTCACGAAGAGGCAGGCTGGCGGTGGCGACAGGAGGCCCGGGTGACGCTCTCGTTATGTGCCCAGCAGAGGGTGACTCTTTAGGGGCCGCAAAAGGATCTCGCAGCAGGGCCTGTCAGCCTGCCGCCGGGCATTAAGACTAGAAATATTCTGTCTTTAATGACTTCTGACAGCCACTTGAACTATATTAAGAGTTTTGAGGGAACGTGGCGTTATCAGCGCGTGAGAGGGCTGCTCAACTGGTTCCACAAAAAAAAGGAAAGGACAGAAAGAAACAAAATTTTAAACATGGTGGAGGTGGAATGTGTGTGCAAGATACTTTTATGCATGTGGGTGAATATACACGTTCCCAGTTGGTCATGTGCCGGAGAATACTCCATTAAAAGAACATTCATAGACATTTTCAGATTCATAGGCATAGACTGAATAGTATCAGCTAGGACGGATTGCTTAAGACTTTGTACATATATCTACGATTTCCAGATGATGTATGACTTTTCCTGTAGGTACCAAGAGGTTCACATTTTTGTTTTAGGGAAATGCCCTGACAACTATAGAAGGGACAGCTATTTGTGGCCCCTTCATGAGGAACTGTAATAACTTCATCTAGTGGCATCATCAGGTAAAAACTTCCATCTGTCCAGTACTTTGGTTTATGACCAAATATCTGTAAAACTAATGATGAAAACTAATTTGAAAGCTAATGATTCCCATCAGCCCCAGCTGGACTTTGGGTTTAGTGCTAATTAGCAAATGAAACTAACATGGTGAATAAAGAGGTAAAAATATACTTTCTGATCATTAACATGTAAGCATACAGATGTTAGCATTTGGCTCAAAGCAGTGCTGTCAAAGTACAGCTTCACAGAGCAGGTTTTAAAATCCATATCAATAACAATTTTTCTTGTTTAAAATGTGTCAGGAGTTTTGTCTAACGATGGATCTAACATAAGGCCTAACAGTGGAACACTGCGGACAGCATTTTGTGTTTACATTTTGATCACATTTAAGGGATTTATTTGATTACTTTTAAATTTGTTTATTTGCATTTTATGTTTTTGGCACGATTTTTATAAATTTTCTATTTTATTAATATGCATAGTATCTTTAAATTTAAATGTTACGTTTGTAAATGTCTTTTAAATGTTTTAATTTGCACAAAACTAAATTTGTTTAATAAGTACCTGGCTGACTTTAGATTGCACTGTTGCAAGCTGGCAAAACGACTGAGTTTCTTTTTCCTAAACTCTCTGTGATCAGTATCAAGACACACCCATCAGGCAACCATGCATGGCTTAGATAAACACTACACGAGTCCACACAGATACGCAAAGAGGCCGTGCCAGCTGATAGCTACAGCTGCTGCTACTCCACAGCGGGGTATTAAATTGAAGGCTGTTCTAATCTCTACCATATCATGACATGTTCACTAAGGCACGGAACAGGAGATCACAGCTCTTTAATGTAATTAGTCTGGGATTTGTGTTTCATTACAAACATCATTAAATTCAGATCTATTCTTCATCAGGAAAGAGGGAAAAAAAAGGGGGGAAAAGAGAGGTGGGAGAACTCCTCGCTTACTAATCTCAGTGTAATTGATTTTGCTTTGATGATCCAAGCTGCTCAGCGGTGATGAAGTCATCACAGAATTCATTTTGACCATTGTAAAAAGATCTCATTTTTGGTAGGTCATAATGATTATATCAAAAAGTTTCTTTCCTGCAATCTATCATATGTGCTTTTCAAAAGGTTTTGTACATTTTATCCGATACACGTTAGTTGGAAATATTATATATATTCCATGAATTGGAGCTAAACTTTTCAGTTATGGCACTAAAATAATATGTGCTGCTGTTTTAATGCAACTGATTGGGTGGTGAATGCAACAAGTGGAGTCAATGCAAACCGACAAAAACAAACTCCTGCATATGGAATGCACACTGCTCTAATGCTACTTCCGAACCACGTGAAAGCAAACAGAAGCAACTGTGAGGTGGTGTGTCAGAGAGTGAGCAAGAGAAAGAGAGCGAGCGCTCTGTATAGCTGCACACTAAAGCCGGGAGAGAGAGGGCTTAGCTTGCACACAGCCCACTCTGAATGCAGCATGTGTTTCAACTTAACATTCCACTTTGCCCTTGCTCTTTCTCGACTGCTGTTTATGAACCGTTTTCCAACACACCGATCATTGCCTGCCAACACTGGAGGACCAACCGCCTACGATTGAACACACACACACACACCTCATTGCCACACTGCAGTAGACCACTTGATGGCAAGAAAAGTAAGAAAAGGCAACAAAACAAAAACGAAGGGTTGTTAAGAAGAAATGGTAAAAAAATATTTTGAGACGAGGAGCAGTGGCAGAAAGAGAAACAAGCGGAAAATTTTACCTCTCTGACGAAAGTAAAGCTCCATGAGTGCAAGGAAGAAAAATTACACGCTAGCAGACCTGCGTGCTTTAATTTCAAGGACAGGGGTGATCTTCTATCAGATCCCACCCACCAAAACAGAAGGTGAGGTCAGAAAAGGCTGAGAGGGGGAAGGTCTCTCTCTCTCTCTCTCTCTCTCTCTCAACTCTGCTCAGCTCTCTGTTGTGTTGAGGAGCTGCTCTGGGGACCTTCTGAGGCTGGCTAGCAGCAGCTGGAGTTCTGAAGCTGAGAGAACTAAAAGCTCACACAAGACAGGACATGGAAGACGGAGGCAGGATTTTTCTCCCCTTCAGGAGGAGGGCAGGGGGAAGGAGTTTGCACGACGCAACCAGTCAAACAGGCGGGCAGGCTGCACAGAGTGCACAGGAAGCCAGGCCCACCACGCAGCACCTCGCAGTCCCAAACCAGCAGCAGCCTATCCTGGCAGCATATTCATTCACTGCATCAAACTAAGCATGGATGCTGTGAAAACACCCATGTAGTAACTATGCAAGTAAAAGATAAAGTTATATGGGGTATTTCATATAGCTCTCCACCTCTGAAGCACCAGTAGTAATGCATTTGAGTAGGGTAGTCGTGTGAAGAGTTAGACCTGATCTAATTTCAACATATCTAGTTCATAGTTTTATTTTATTTTCAGTCAGACCTACTTAAAAAGTGCTTTTTCAAAAGGAGCTAATTTCTGTCAGTACTAGGGGACATAGGCCTCAGCTGAGTCTTGTTGACCTTACAGAGTGTATTATCATGTTTATACCATGGCAATCCACCGCAGGAAAGATATTTTTAAGATCACATGAAATTATGTACTTAAAATTCCTATCCTACTATTTTTAAATACTGCATCTTCAGCAATGGCCTCGTGCTGCACGAGCGGGTGTAACTACAAAGTTCAAATAACAAATTCATTAGAGATATTTCAGAAAATCCTACCTTTCAGCCGATCCTATCAAATCAAGCTGTTTGCATTTCCATAAACGAAAGCCCATTGGTTTACACATCACATTGATCTCTCACGGTCTAATGTTCTGTCCCAGCATCCTGTTTCGAAAGGAAGAACTTCCCACTAAGTAAGTAATGATGATAACATTTCATGGAACCATTGAAGTTAGTTTGTAAAATTGTATGCAATAAATACTATCTTCATTAAGTTTTTTGTTGTCCATGAGTTGTATTGCATTTTACTACACTATACTCTATCTAGTGTTGGGAAATGTAGCTAGGTGTACCTAATAAACTGAGCATAGGATACTGAATATCAACGACTCCAAACAACAGTTTTATGATTTTTATGGACACCTGCTAGTTTTTTTTTGTTTGTTTTTTTAACACATTTATGTTTTTTTTTCTATGAAGAAATCCTCACGGAGTAAACTGACTGAATTGAAGTGACTTTTATTCTGTTGCAAATGAAGCAATTACATTACGTTGGCATGACTTTGCCTCTGATGTTCAGCTAGGGCACTATTGAGGGACAGTGTTCTCTCTACCAGCCATCCACATAGCATTGCAGTTCACCGAGTGCAGCAGGGATTGTAGCTCAGCTGCATAAACACTCACGGGTAGCTACCAGGCAAGCAGATACAGAGCCCTATTCACGACTACTGCCAAAGAGCCACATCAACACTCAAGTAAAGCTCCTGTACACCAAATCCCGGAAATTCTTCCCCCCCCCCACTGACCACATTTTACTGGTGCCTGCCAACATTTACAGTTTGCCATTTTACCAGCTAAATTTTTGGTTTATTGAGAAGAAAAGCAACTTGTAAATCAGACAAGCTGACCAATCTCAGTGAAAAGTGACCAGTTTTGCTGCACTTTGATTGAACAGGTAGGTAGGTAGATTTATTGTCACAATATAACAGGTTATATAATGAAATTGAGTTTTGTAACTCCCTTTTGCTACATGGTGGACAATATACACAAATAAAGAAGCAATTATAAAAATGGTAAACATGAATAAACAATATTCAATGGAGCAGTGCTGAGGATGAATTTGAGCTTAAAAGTCTGAATGTGTGTGTTTATTTATTAGAGTACATACACAGAAGTTAAATATGGGATAACTCTGCTCATTAAAGCATGTAGTTATTTTAGCCAAGCTTACAATTGGTTAAAATGCAATTATGTGTGCCAGTCACATGTAGTCCAGATGCTGTAGCACAAACTACAGTACTTTATATCAGAGTTGGTTTTTTTTGCATTGCAGAAAAGCTTACTTGAATCTTAATGGGCCATGTAAAGTTGCTGACGTAGACAAAGAACGTTATGTTTGGGTTGTTGCGGAAATCAAAGTTCTCGTTGGAGAAGCTGTCTTTGAACTCCTTGATGTTGCTCCGAGAGACGATCGGGATCTCCTCCCCGGTCTGCGTGCCTGCTGAATGATAGAAAGAAGAACAGAAAAAGCGGGAGAGAGAGAGAGATGGAGGAGGGAAAGAAGAGAAAGGAAAATGAAGGATGATGTTTATGAGGAGATGGGAGATGGAGAGAAAGAAATGGGAAGAAGGGCATGTAGTATGAGGGGGGGTAAAGACAGGGGAAAAAGGGAGATAGACATTAACAACAGTGCTCACTGGTTTATCTCTGTACATAAAGTAGTACAGTAGCCTGGTTTAAGACATCTTCAATTTTTTCAGCAATTCAAGTACATCTGGTATTGTGCCCATTGTCAGTTATTACCCCGGTAGGAGAAACGATTAACCAATCTTATCTTTATAAGTGGGATTGCCAATAAGGAAGTCTTTGTTCTACCTTCGTCCATGAAAAATATTGACAACAAGCTTTATTGAGATAGACACAGCTGTACAGGTAAGAGTCTTAAATGGTATATTTCTTTCATACATGATTTTATTGTCTGGAAATAAATAAAGCAACTGCTACGACAGCTTCTGTGTTGCCTGAAAATGACATCAGCAGGACAGATATGTCACTTAATACTGATTGGTTAGCACGAAACCAATCAACCCCCTTCGCAAACAGAAATCAGCTAACGTGAACACAATGTCAGACTGATAAACTCGCAGTAGATGAACCTAAACAAGAACAATGAGCTTCCAACAGAGGATTTTTTCCATCCATACAAGATGAACAAATCAAACATGACCCCATTTTAGGATACCAAAGATATTTTCCAACAATTTAATTACATGAGAAGTAATTAGTTTAATGTACAAGTTATTTTTTATATGCAATATATACAATATGTATACATGCAATTACAAGAATGCAGGCAAAAAAAGTTGCCAAGCAGAATCTGATCCAACTGTTCCTTTCTGTATTAAACTGCGGGAAGGCCTGTGAAGACACCTGGCCTGAGGACAGAGGATGTGTAAGAGCTGCCACCTGATGTTTCACTGAATTAAGTTAATTAAGTGAATTGTTCAGCCACAACTAACAATTATCTGTTAACTAAATGCCGATATGTATTAGTTGGCCTATGTAGTCTAAAAAATTTGAAAAAAAGAGCCCTAGTTGACATCTTGTTTTTTGTGTTAAAACATCTTAAAATGACATAAACCAAAGAAAAAGCAGCTAATCCTCAGACTGAAAAGCTAGATCCAGGGTAGTTTGGGCATTTCTGTTTGATGAATGATTTTCTGTTATCGTCTAATTGTTTCAGCACTACTGGCGTGTTTGGTGAGTCCTACCCGTGAAGCTAGTGGCCCAGGTTATGTTCAGGTTGAAGTTCTTGGAGGCATTTATGAACATGTCGAGGTCCCGGTTTGGCTGAGGAGGAGGAGAGGACACAGAAAACATGCAGTCACCTTCAAGTCTCACATATCATATAAATGTGTAGTGGAGACGGATGAACCAGAATTTAAAAAAGAAGAAGCAAGGTCCCCTTTACAGTAAACGCTGAGCAGAGGTTTCTTTCACCACCCCACACCAGTGTACAGCTGTATAAACAGTTACTGTATTGCAGACTTCAGCAAATTTGCACAGCTAATGGAAGCTGAATTAGCAAAACAAATGTTTGAACAAGAGTCAATAATGAAAACGACATGTATTAAAATACTGTAAGTGCAGTAGTGAAATGCATCAGCTTTGATAGTGTCAAGAAGGTATAAATAAACCTAACCTAATTAATGTTTACTTACTGATTGAAAGGCAGCATTTGTTAATAATCATTTAATCGCTTTAGTGCTGATGAATGGTTAAAGAGGCTCTATTATAAAAATTCTAAATATTTTAACTTATTGTGAAAGATGTATTATGTAGATATTGTTATCTTTTTGTGCGTGCGCTTATATTTAAGCTATTTCGTTGTTATACTTAATTCCCTTATCTTTTGCTGTTTGGCTCACTGCTAAACACCACATTACATCATCATCCAGAAGGTCTCCAGTCACCATGTTTTGCCTGAGTTGAGGCAAGTTAAATTTTTTAAAATAAAATTACAAGACAATCCAATTTCTTGCGACTTAAATACACATCTAATTTTGCACACCTCTAGCTGACAAAGGAATCACAGTTGTGCATTTGTTACCATTTGGTAAAAGTTTCGTCAGGGGAAAAATACCATCTGGGGTATTTAATAAGATCCTTGTGTTTCAGTTTCAGCTCCAGATGCTGCAGCCAGGTAAACAGGACTGGACAAGTTTTCATTTGCTGGGAAAACATCTGTGAGTGACTGTGATGAATGTAGTTCACGCTACGACATACTGCAACATTACACTTCAGTCTGTGCTCATCAGTGGCAGACCGACTATTACTGTCAAGTCAGTGGAAAATCACAATCTGGTTGATAATTATTTATAAATTATAATTGTTATCATAAATATATTACATTCTTTTTTGCCTGTGCTCTACTGTAAATATTGTTCATTAGTCGCTTGATATATTGTAATATTTTTAATTATGTAGTCATACCTTTTTTATGTACTCAGGTCCCATCTCAATGGGACTTTCCTAACTTAACTTTAAAATATTCTATTATGATATAACACTGTTAAATAGTTTGTTGTTATGCTGTCTCTCTTCTGTTAACTGGTATGGTTGTAATGGAGCCAACAGGGGAAGCACTCCAATCATCATGGCTGGTGCTCGTTTTTAAAATCTCATTTACTACGGAAGGTTTCAAAACAATATACTCAAGCATTTTGAGAGTTTTTTTATTTAATGTGGAGATAATGATTATTGTGCATGTGAGTTACGCATTGTGAATTTTTCCTATGTGCGTATCTGTCCGACAAAAAGCATTTCTCTCAAAATTTGGTCTTTCTTTAACCCAGATAAACTAAAGGATATGTTCCATCATGGGTTTGGGATGTTTTTATTAAGCCAAACTATTAAAACCCCCTTTGCATTAGCTGAAAAATGCTTTGTTACCATGCTGGAAATGGGACATTTGAGTGTTTTCTCAGGAAAGTGACAAATTATATATTTGATCTTGTGCATAGGTTTCTGTTTAAAAGCACATCTTGTCTTATTATTACTCTTATCTTTTAATCATTGTTATTATTATTACCAAAATGGTAAAGATACAATAGGAGAAGTGCCTTCAATAGAAACTTAATGACAATAAGTGACAGGGGAGAAATAAGAAACACGATCACCACCATCAGCTGGTGCTGCTGACTATACAATCTTTAATCCTAATAAAAGTGACAGCTGTTGTGCCGGTGGGGCGTTCACGGTCAGAGACATACCTCCTCAGGTGTGGCCACGAAGTTGATGGCGGTGTAGTAGCGGTCGTCCTCCTGCGACAGGCTGAAGGTGAACTGGTAGTCGATGAGGAGCGTGTCTGTTTGAAGTGATCGAGCCGGGGGTGTGGGAGAGTGTGGTGGGGATTACAAAAGAAGAAGAAGAATAGCTCGATAAGTCTAGTTTGAAAGTCACACAAGAACATGTTTTCACACAGCGCTTGGGGCAGGATATTATCCAGTTCCCCATTCTTTTTATTTATGGGATGGACATGAAGATTTTAGCGTGTGTTGTCAGTTGCCTGTGTCTGTGATGAAGGTCATGATAGACTGGGTTATATGGCTCTGTGTAAGTCTGTATTAAACTACAGCTGGAGATCATCATGGTCACTAGAACACGATAACACAGAGCCATACATGAACCAGGCATGGACCAAATAATTTCCCTATGTGTTCCACATATGATCCCTCAGATAAAAATGGGAAAACACCACCTTCCAGTAAGAATACACACATACAATGCACTCTACATTTAGTTGAACCACTCAGCAGGTGATTGTGACTGCTGTCACCAACAGTAGCTGGAGTTACAAAAATATTTTTCTGTTGATCTAGTAACCAAAAACCTAATTGTTGTACCTCAAGTTGCTCTAGTGGATTATTTATATATAATATTGCAATTACAAGAATGCAGACATATTACTACTTACTTTTAATAAACAACATTTAAGTCACATTGTTCAAGCAAATGCCTGTTCAGTAAAGACGGGCAGTAACTGAAGCACGTTGGAATGATCAAAAGAGGGTTACAAAACCCCGTTTGATGACCAAATGTTAGTTTGACTGCAGATGTGAGTTGTGTCAGTCTGAAAGTGGTACAAGACAATCGACTCCACCAGGTCTAGTATCATTTCTAGAGCCTTCTGTATTATAAAACATATTAAAAAGATAATAATGAGGACTGTGGAGGACAAAGTTATTAAATTCCATGGTTTGACAGATGTGCCAATCCTATCTACATTATTGTATTCTAAACAATCCCAATTGACAAGAATAATAAAGACGAGACTAATCTGCAGTGTGCACCCCTGTACTTCAGTCTGTCCCTGGCAAAATGACTGTCACTGCAGCAGGGAAAAGAGAAATATGGTCCTTCAAACGCTCCGCTACATTCTCCTGCAATTCACTTTCATGTGCTTCTCACTTTGCACCTGCGACTTGTTTAAAAAAGCTGTTTCTCCTCTGGCTGTTATTTCTTTAAACATCAAACTACTTGAGACCCACTTTGATTTAAGAGCCATGTAACTGTCTTGGCGTTGACCTGAACAAGGAAGACAAGTAAGGCATCACAGTGGTTTCTTAATGTGATCCCTACCCCACACCTTTCACTGATGTTGGTAATTGGAATTCCACTTACAGTAGCATGTTCCTTTGAGGGGGTTGCCTTGGTAACGATTCTCGACTTCACACCTGAAGGAGAGAGGTGGAGAACAGATGAAACGGAAATGAGGCAAAACATGAGTGAAAGACAGCAAGGAGGGGAGAAAAGACGACAGAGGGGAAGAAAGGTCAATAAGGATAATTTAATTGGTGATAAAAATAAAGCAAAAGGAAATCAATGCATCACACAGAGCCGAGATAACACACAGTAGAAAGTGGTGCGAGTCGTGACCTTCAAAAACAAAAAGAGTGAAAGACCGACACCTTCAATTTATAAAACCGTGAGAAAAAAAAGACAAAAATGGCCTCATTTTCATACTGATGACCACTCAGTTGTGAAACTGTATCTCAAGTTTGTAATGGATTTTGGGAAGCGCTATGGTAATGAAGGACAGGGTTAAGATTAGTGCTGACACTCTAGCTCTAATGAACAGCTGCTACTACAGTATGCCAACAAAAAAAAAAAAAAAAAAAAAAAAAAAAAAAAAAAGACATGCAGGATGTAGAGTCTTTTCTTAAAACCTCAACATATTAAAACTTTGCAGGTCTTTGTAAAACTCAGTTTGTTAAGAATCCTTGAATTTCAAGTCATTTGCACATAAAAAGGGTTTTTGGCACTTGAAAATGGGCAAATGCATCTTTATATCAAGTCACATCTCTATGATTAACAGATGTCTTTCTCCAAAGCAGTGATGTGCTAATTGCTTTACAGTTCCTTATTCTTACAACCACAACAAAACAACTACTAAATAAAATCATTGTGCCCTTTTTTACACTAGTTTGGAAGTTAACATATTCTTGTGTTTCACCCTCAAAGAACATTACATGAATTATCGCTCTAATAGTCAAGACACAACATATGTAAAGAAAATAAAAAAAATTGTTTAAGCAGCCTCAAGGCTTGTGTTTGATCCATCACTAAAACTGATCATTAATTGCCTGATCATTTCTAGGCCATCAGAAAGAACCACGCACAGAAGCACCGTAGGTTCCTCTGGTGAAAACACAAGATAAGTTCCAGAGTTCTGTCTAAAAAATATATTTATAAAAATGGGCTATATGAAGGTCCTACATAAAGCCATTAAGAACCAGTATTACCCGTCAAAATCTGAGCATGTGGTGTCACAAATACTGCATGTAATGGACAGATGGACCTAAATTATAAAGACTAAACCATATTCTCCCACCCAGAACTTGTAGCGGGCTAAGATATGACAGATACAAGGTTTCCTAAAACCGAAGACATAGTCCAACTGTAAGTATAAGAAGGAGAAAGAGGAAAGACGAGGACAGAGGGATGGAAAAAAAAGGTGAAACTCACAGGTGGCAGCGATCTCCTTTGATGCCTTTAGTGGTGCAGAAGCACTTGCCGTTGTTGGGGTTGCACATGCTGGCATGGCCGTTACACTTGCAGGCTGAACAAACATGAAACATGTGCCTCAGCAAAGCAGTAACATGTTATTTTTTTTCACATTTAATGACTGCTATCATTCTAAATTACATATTGGTGCAGAATACTGAATTAATTGAGTTATATAGAAGGGGCAAACAAAAGTAATAAAAACACTGTGAATCAAGTACATTTGATTCAGTTCAAAAGAACATTTACCCTCGAGTCTACATGTAAAAAAACAATATGATGTTTGCACTAAATAAGGCCTTTTCATGTTTGTCATGTATGCAGTTTAACAGTTCAATGCTGCTTCCCTGAATGTTTCTTGCATCTCAGGAAGTCAGTCAGTCCCTTATTTTCTCTCTTCTGTTCAACATACAACCACAGATCTGATCTGACCCAAAATCAATTATCAATCTTCGAACAAAGGTGTGTAGGTACACTTTTGTGCTATAATAAAGCACCACGTTTGAGCACAAGCTAGTTTTTAAGTCCAACAAAAAAATAAAATAAAACATGGTTCATGTCAGGCAGGCGGTTCCTCCCTATCACCCCCCTCTAGGTCTGATTGTCAATGCGGACGTTGACTAGAAAGTCCAACATGAGACCCCAAGAGCCAATCTTTTTCAGAACCCCACCCAGAGACTCAAAAAAGGCCAGATACTCGGAAATGCTCTTAACTGCATGGGCACAAACAACAGACAGAGCAACACTGTCTCATTCTCCAAGGAAAGGACAAGGAGGGAAAACAACAAACTCTGACCCTGGACAAAAATTGAGTTCCAGAGCCAATTCTGTGCATAGCTGTGAACCCAACTTTAACGCTGCATCTCCCATAGAGCTCCAGCTTCTTCCCCACCAGAGGTGACTTTCTACATCCCAAGAGACCGTTTTTGTGACAGTTAACAGATGCCAAATGTCTATTAGGTTTGCTGATTTTGTGGACAGTTGGTGGAGCAAGATGTGTTCTATTTTCCTTTTTGGAGGTATTGATTGTGTACTTTTTACTTTTTACTCATAATGCCTCCTGAGTCAAACTGATGTAAAGAAATATAAAAAATAATGTCACGATTAGCCGTGGAGTTAAACATGCCTGTTAATGTGCATGAGGGGCACTATGAAATTAAGAAGCACAAACAAGGAATGCATAATACTGACAAGATGAAGATATGCAGAGAGGCTGGTTTATTGATTGGCTGTCATTGATGTACAACCAAGTAGATATACATTCCAGAGGGACACCTGGAATTACGGCTAAAAAAAATAAATAAAAAAAAAACACAACAAAAAACCCCACAATACATAGACCGTGGCTGTAATATATCAGTAAGCTAAATTAAGCTGTCGAAGGAATGGGCAACTGATTTGTTGTCTGACTGACTGACTGTCAGTATTAGCTGTAGTGCGGCGTAAATCTTTAATATCCCATGGGGCCGCTTTACTGTGCTGCCAGGAATAAGGAAAATGGCCGACATAAAAACTGAACTGTAAAATACTGACAAGTTAAATGAAGCTGTGCGCAGAAAGACTGACTGGTTTATTTAGTACTAGACTGAACGGCCCACGGATACTCACGTTGGCAGCTGCCCCCGTTGGTCGGATCTCCGTAGAAGCCGGAGATGCAGCTCTCGCAGTGTCGGCCGGTTGTCAGGTCCTCGCACTTCTCGCACACACTCTCGTTGACGCACTGGCTGTGACCGTTACACTGACAAGCTGCCAAAGAGTGAACAAAGCACATACTGAACACCACACGCTAAAAAAACTAACAAAAAAAACAAACAAAAAAAAAACGTCTTTAATAAACAGCCACAGGCCAAAATTTTAATGAATTAGTTTGTTAATTTGCAAGTACAGAAAGTGCTGAGCAGTGTAGGATCTGTACTGTCCACTGGTGATGCATGTCAGGACCTCATTTGACAAATAATGTTACTTTGATATTCGCTATGCCTGCCAGGTTTATTTGTCAAGATTTACTACATAGCCAGTGCAGGTTAGTTTTTGATTATGATGAATGAGTGAAACAACTGGGTAAAAATTTTCAGATATTTTGGTTGTTAGACAGTGAGGTAGGATCTTCCATGATTGTACACAAGGATCAATTTACTCTTCAGAAGGAGTACCATCAGCCAGAGAAAACGGTTGTAAAAAGGTTTTCTTTGGCTCTGAAGGGAGCAATCCAAATTGTGTCTGATGGGTTATCTCAGCTTAGGCTTTAGACTTAGAGGTGGGCACTGAGAGGGAAGAGGGAGTCTAAAGAAAGACACTATTGAGTTGAATTATGGAAGTGCAGGATCCAGTGTTTTTGGAGCATGACACACACACACACACACACACACACACACTAAAGACTAAAAGTTGTGGTATCTTGCTGACTTAAAAAAAATTATAATTACATAAAAAAAATAATAAAAAGATGACATGACATGCAGGGACAGGGCCCCGGGTTGGAAAACAAACCAAGCCTGTGGTAAGGACTCAGCCTTAAAAAGGTTTACGCTACCAGGTGAGTTCTGACTACGCTTTTATTTTATTTTTTTATCTGTCTCTTGTGAGTTCCTCATCTTTATAAAAGTGCAATACCAAATTACACTTTTGAAAAATGACATTTACTTTTGCAAACAGCAAAGCTCCTTCAGAGCTATAAAAAAAAACATAAGACTACTATTTTTTTTCCCACCTTTGTACTTACCATGACAAGTAAACTTAAGATAAGATACTTTACTGATCCCACACTGGGGAAATTCACTTGTTACAGGAGCTCCAGATACAACACATCAGATAAGAAAATACACATTAAACTAAAACCGATTAGAAGAGTTACATGAACACTATATACACCTTTTATGTACAGATGTAATCAATATGGAACATTGCACAGGTCGCAGCAAGAGGCAGTGGCATGGTGTAAAATATATATAAAATGGTCATAATGTTATAGCTGATGCGTGGTCCCCCTTTTGCTGCTAAAACAGCCCTGACCAGTCGAGACACGGACTCCATTGTGATGCCCTGTGTGTTCTGACATCTTTCTATCAGAACCAGCATTCACTTTTTCAGCAATCTGACCTTCAAGTAGCCCGTTTGTTGGACCGGACCACACGGGCCAGCCTTCACTCCCTACATGCATCAATGAGCTTTGGCCGTCCATGACCCTATCACCAGTTTTCTGCTTTTCCTTCCTTGGACCACTTTTGAAAGCTACTGACCACTGCAGTCCGGGAACACCCCACAAGAGCTGCAGATTTGGAGATGCTCTGACCTATCATAATTTGGCCCAATGCAAAGTCGCTCAAATCCTTCAGCTTGTCCATTTTTCCTGCTTCTAACTCATCAACTTTGAGGACAAAAAACTTGCTGCCAAATAAATCCCACCCACTGACAGGTGCCATGGCAACAAGATAATCAGTTTTCATCACTTTACCTGTCCGTGGTCATAATGTTATGGCTGATCAGTGTATAGAGTAGCAAGTAAAAATAAATTAGGTGTAATTCCATCATTAAGTATTATAGCATTTATACAACACATTGATATGAATTAGTATTTCAAAAAGGTTATGTTAACAAAACAAAGAGGTAATTCCTGCCTACCTGGGCAATGGATGAAGGACCAGTTGTATTTGGCATCGCTGGGGCACATGCTGGCATTGAGGGCCGGCTGGGGGCTGGCGGGCAGGCCAGGGAGGGTGGATGGAGCCGGGACCGAGGTCTGAAAGGGCCCACGATATGAGCCCTCGATGCACTGACCTTTGCCTGTGTTATTGGGGTCGGTGCACCAACCACAGCCCGGCTGGTCCAGACACTGGCCACATGTTCTATACCCAGAGCAGTTCTCCGCTGCAGCAAAACACACAACACCAGTTGGAAAACAACTCAGGACATTTATCCCTGTGAAGTCTGGCACTAGTACTGTTTTTGAAAACCAATAGTTTGTCTTTTTAAAATCCACCTGTGTTGTAAAAACAGAGCCGCTGGTGTTTCCAAAGTCAGAACAACAGTAACAGTGGACTATCACACGAGTAAAACCAAGTTGTATGACAGAATCTCCTACATTGAATGAATATTTCAACACTTTGGCGAGAGCCATCCACACGTTAAGTAGGCAGTTAGCATAGCACCGAAATTGGAAATAAGGAAACTGCCAGGTTTTGTCCTAAATGTTAAAATACATATACATGTAGGTCAAAGACTTGACTGTTAAAACCACAAATTGTCTTTTTTTTTTACATTACTGTTTATGTATGTATGAATTAAACAAACATACAATTAAACAATACATCATGTTAATTATTGAGCTTTAGACAGAGCCACAAGTTGTTCCCCCCGCTTCAACTCTTTATTCTAAAGCTAACCTAATAGCCTCCCAGCTTTTATCTCTATAGTAAATACACAGACATGAGAATGCCATCGACTATCACGTCTAACTCTAGGCAAGAAAGCAAATATACCAAATATGAAACAATTTTCCTTGAAGCAGAAACTCAGTTTTGGTTTGTGAGGAAAAAAAGATTTGAGTTGAGTGAACTGGAAGGGCTAACTACAGGTAAGGCAACCGTATAACATGCAATCAATGTAACCAATGTGTTTTCCACTGTCACAAGACTGTCTTTGTAATTTGAGATCACATAACTGTTGTTTTTTAGTTTTTGTTTTTTTAAGCTGCAGAACTTAAACACATTTGTATAGCAGTATAAACAGTGTATTTGTGCAGAAAGAGAGCTTGTAATCAGCGAGTTTCCAATTAAATCAATCAATTACTGTCCTATGAAACACAGGTAGCAACGTTAACACACCATCATGAATAAATGAGTGATTGGTAAAAGTAAGTTTGTTATTTGGTGAGTAAGGTCCAGCCTTTCCAAAAGTTTTAATTTATAACACCTACAACCCCTCTGCAAGGTTCAATAGTTAATTTAGCTAATTCCTGAGGCCCTGGTTCTCTCCACGGTTATTTGCCTATATTTTAATTCCTAACTATGAGCCCTTGAGTGGCTTCTCTGCCAATGGCTGTGAGCAACAATTTATACTTAATTGACCTGTCAGGTTAAATAAAATGAAAATTGTTCTCTGCTGTGCCATCTAGAAGAAAAAAAAAAAAAAAAAGGACGTACCAGCCGGAGACTAAATTACCAAACTACTAAACCAGATTATTAATCCCCATCTCATCTACTGGAGGGGCCACAGTGTAATGTGCACGACTAAATGAAGGTTAAAATCAAATGTAAAGATGCTCTGCTCCAGAGAGCCTGTTATTTAAAATGTTGCCTTTCGAAGTCTGATGAAGATTACTACATATGCTTAAGTGGTTGAGTACACTGACTGTAACATTACGTGAGCAGACTTCAGATTTATGCTTCTGTTTTTCTCCTTTCATAGGTTGCAACCTATGAATCCAGCCTGGGAGGGTGGTGGTTACGCAAATATCTGGTGCAACTTAATCAGAGGCTTAAATAGTATGCTGCAGTGTTTTTGCAAAGCGTTTTTCTACACCAGCAAGAGCAATTTGATTGGAACAAACAGGACAAGAACTTGGTAACCGGCATTAAGAAATGCATAGAGAGATCTGTGCACACTTAAAAGTAAACACTTTATGTACAATCAATGGGTTTGACTCAAGAGATGCTGATCCCAGGGCCGCAAAAGCAAACACTGCAGAAAGGTTCTTACACAGAGGTATGATGGGTTCAATGAGTCAAGTCAACTGATGAATAGACATTATAGATTACAAAAAAGAATCCAATCCATTTACTTGTTACCACAGCAGAGAAGAGGGTAATGCCTCATTTTACTGCTCCTTAATTTCCCAGGAAGCTTCATGCAAATGAGTATGTAATTTGGTTTTAATTACAGGGAAAATAGGATAGACCTTAAAAGAAAGGCTTTATTTCAACCAAAGTAAATATTAATTTCATCCTATATGAAGATCGGCTTCCATGTAGACAACTTTTACAGCCCCCTAGAATACGGCGTTACTGCTAGGAGATCGAGAATAGAAAATGTGAAAGGCTATCTGGTTCTAAGGGTTTTGTTGGGCTGCAACCCCAGAAATCATTTAGTTAATTCATTTGTTATTTGGAGTGTTGTTTCAATTTAAAAAGGAGAGTTATTATACCAGTTGTCTAATCATAACTCGTCACTCTCACCTAATGAAAAAACGCTACTACTAACATTAATGCACTCAATGCCAAAAATCTTAAGGGCAGAATGACAATGTCCCATCTCTTTCAAGTATCGAGCCACACGGTTTTTACATCATTTCTTTTCACTTTTGTGTTTTTAATTTCAGTCTACATTCTGCACACCGTTATGAAAGCGACTGAAAGGCTTTTTTTTGTTAGTATTACATGTAATGATGTAATAACAGGTAATGATTTTCAGACTCAATGGGCCCCATGCAAGAACCGCTCGTTTGAACAGATTTGTTCCTAAGTGGCATGTACGAGTGAATTAGGAGAACTAACTCATATTTTGAACTTTGTCTTAGGGAGAAACGCAATTTACGAGTGGTCCCATATAAATTACACTTCATAATTCTGTTGATATTATCCTGTTTGACCTTAATGACATCATCATTCATTTATTTTGGCTATTCATGATATTGTATAACAATACAATATCAAAACGACTTAAATAATGCACTAATTGAAGGTTAAATTGTATCTGTATATAATAGGGTCAGTGGGTGTAGGGTGATCTTTTGGATGCCTTAGGGCTTCAGGCCCTTGGAAAAAAGTGAATCCATGCTGATATATTGGCAGAAACAGAGGAATGGTTGTTATTGCGGTTTAGATAACCACAGGCTGTGCTTCTGCAAATGTGAAATCTGTTAGAGCCGCTACTCTGCAGACAGACGCACAGATCAAGTCCTATTCCCTTAATTCCACTTTGATGCTGTTAAAAATGATACTTTCTTTCTCTTTAGGAATCCCTGAAAGCAGGACTTCAGTTTCAATTTCTGAACTCAAAGTTCTTCTTTTTACTCTTCCATGTCATTTTCATGAATAAACACTCCATAATATATGGGGGCAGGAAGTGTAGCCTTACATGGTATTATTGGGGTTTTAATTATGTCAATTTAAAATTCTTATTAACCTGTGCTCATTATGCACAGGTGACATTCATCATGTTTATGTGGGTCAGTTACACAGTAATCTGACGTTTGCTGAATCTGACCTGGTCCACCTTACAAAAAATTAAGAGAAAGTTCAGATAAGAAGAAACTGTTCTTGCATGAGTACCAATGTTTAGTGTGTATATATTTGTAGTGTGTCTTGCCAAAACAAGAATCACGATTGTCATATTAAACCTGTAAATGAAAATATAAGAGGGGAAAAACTGGACAGAATAAGATGTCTTACGTGGACAGGTGTTCATGGTGTACCACTCCATACACTGTCCGAAGGGGAAGGAGGCCACGTAGGCATTGGAGTCGACGCACTGCTTCATGTTGCTGCACCACATACACTCGGAGCTGCTGCTGGTGCATTCGCTGCAGGTGGTTCTCATGGCACACGGTGTCCTGCACTGCTTGGCACTGTGGTTGGCTGAGGAACATTATCAAGAAGTTATGTTTAAGCCCCTGGAGTATACATTCACATATTTTCAGCATGGATGTTTCATGTGGATCAAACCTCCACTGGCAGTGGTCTTCATGCTGAACTCCACTGGAATATGATAAACATGATGTTCCTATATTTAGAGAGCAGAAAACTAATGTTTGTTTTTTGTTGTAAATGCTCTGTATTTGTACATAGCGCCTTTCTAGTCTTTGATCACTCAAAGCGCTTTTACACTACATCTGCATTCACCTCACACACACAGTGTGAGCTGAACCTAAACTGAGGCTTATTGTTGACTATTTTCTTTCTCTCTCTCTCGCCAGCCATTCACCTTGTGCAGAGTTTTTGCCGTGCTGTCCACAACTGCATGCACGTTGCGGTTCCTCACGGGTCTATTTCAAGTAGCGGCTGTTTAAAAACGAGAAAATATACTTTGTGTGGTTCATCAACGGTGATAAATTATCCGAAAGTCCCGTGATGTGCGGACAACTCGGCACAACACTAGTAAAGCTGTGGCTCTGTCTTCATCACGTTTTCCTCCTGCACACACACACACACACACACACACACACACTATGCCTACACATGTGCACTGACGACCCAGGGTTAGGGTTACAATTTTGGATTTATGCACGCACTTTAAAAACATTTATTGGAACATTTATTTACAACATTAAACGTTGAAATGTGTATTTTAATAGGCTGTATATTAACTTTTTGGGAGAAAACCGGTAGTTCTATGTAAAAAACAGACGTTGAGCTCCCCCATAACGCCAAAATGGTATGATCCTTGTTTCGCTGCAAAGCTTCGACTGTCAGATTGACAGGCGAATCAGGCTCCGCCCATCGAAGCATTGAATCTTCGACTATTGGGGGTCAGACCTACTGGATTCTTTTGGCCCCTACTGACCTTTTACCTTTGCATGTCATGTAACACTGCAAGCTATGATTGGTCAGTGTTCAAAGTGAAGTCTGACATTTCCCTCAACCAACTCACAACAGCAATTTAAGATTACCTAATTCAACAGAGACCATCTCAAAAGACATAAGTCAAGTATCATATCTGTGTTGGATGTCTGTAATATAAATACTTTGATAGGGAGAAGCAGAGGAAATATTTACAATGCCGTTAATTTAGTAGGACATGTGGCCTATTTTACCAAAGCCTGGACTTTAATGCAATTCTCGCCATTTTTAGCCACAGTATGTGCTGATAACTATACGCTGAAAATGTATTGTTTTGTATGTTTCTGCATTTACATCCTCTCCTACAGGACACTACTCTGGAATAAAACTTTCCCCTTTGGTTTCAATTCATGAAAAATCGTGAAACTACCTGGCCGTTCACATAGGCTGCCATTCACGGGGTTGATGCAGGTCTGTGCTTTCAGTCCGCTGGGCGCTGGCTCGGCCAGGTAGCCACAGAACCCGGCGTCACTCGGCTCGCCGGGCAACCACTGCAGGGTGGTGTTGGTGAAGGGCGACATGTCCTCCCAGCACCAGTACGACACGTTGATTTTCCTGAGCCCCACCCACGGCGTCACTGTTGCCTTGTACTGGAAACACACAGAGTCAAAACAAGGATTTTACACATTGTCGTCTTTAAATTTATCTCTTTAAAGCTTCAGTTAAATTTCTACTACTCTACTACTGTCTACTCCTTCTTCTACTCTTCATGTCAAGTTTTTTCTAGATTTTCTGTAAATCAAAATCTCTTAACCATCTCTGATAATAACAAAAGGAAACCCTTTATGATTACTTGTTGTTTTGTCATCTTTCACTTTAGTTGTGGCTCTCTCAACTTCTTTTTGTCACACTTTTTAAAGTGCCAGTACTCCGTATCTAAAGACAATATGACATTCGATTAAAATCAATGTCAAAAACTGAGTTTTGTCAGAAATCACAACGTTGCCCTGGCAGTAAGCAACAAAAAACCCCAGAAAAGTGTAATATTTCATCAGACATAAATTCCCCTGGACTGACTGAGCTGCAATAAAAGCAGCGTTACTTCACTTGGCTTGGGAGACTGTTATCCATCCCATCTCTAAATCAATGGCCATGCTGTTGCAGTAGCAGTAAACAAAGAGAGCTCGATCTCTCACAGACGTGGGTCGAATTACTGTTCCATCAAGATTTAATTGCATTTCTTGGATTGATTGATCCTGTCTGTAAATAGTATAAACTGGTAAACAGCACAATGTCAATGTAATACAGCAGGAAGATTTGTGAAGCATGTTTCAAAGTCTGTGTCTGTACAGCATTTTATTGTTGAACTGAACCGTTTGAAATCCAATGTTATTCCAGAGAAGATAGGTTTTATTTCTTTTCTACCTAAAACTAACCAACATAATTGAATTTAGACCAATAGGGAAATATACGCAGTTTCATTAGTAAGGATGGAAAACACTCAATTCCAGCCCCACTTTGAGATTTAAACCCCATGATTTTGTCTTATTTAGCAACATTTACATATGCCATGCGGTGGCCCCTGGGCACTTTGCAGGATTGTAAGTGGCTTACATTTTTGCATGGTTGGCTTCAGTTAAGGATGACAGTGTGTGAGCCTGCTGGGTGATCTACACAGAAACAGGACTGCAGCTGAAGATGACACCATGTTTCATTTAAGTGCAGCCTGGATCTTAAGAACCGTGCTCTCACAGTGCTTTTGACACATTTCGGATTATGTAATACTCTTCGGTGAACTCCAGTGTAGACACACTAAAATATGTAGACAGATTTAGCTGCAATTAGGCCAATACTGTGGGTCCTTAAAAACATTTTTCCTCAACAGCTTGAAAAATTGTCTTTCAACAGTGCCTATTCATTCAGGTCATTCAAGTGTGTTAACGCTGCAATTAACAATTCTTTTCATTATCCATTATTCTACTGCTTATTTTCCCTGATTAGTCGACTGATCAATGAATTGTCTAATGCTTGAAATTGGGGGAAATTGCCCATTATAGAGCACAGGGTGAGGTTTTCACAGTACAAACCCCCAAAATATTCAGGTTAAAATGATTTAAGAGAGAAAAGCAGATAATACACAGGAGAAACTGGAACCAGGGAATGGCTGTTATTAGTGCTTGAAAAATTTCTAAAACAATAAGAGTGATAATTAAAAACTTTAATTTCTATTAACCGTTTCCACTCTATAACATAAATTACTATTTCAGGGTAATCGAATCTAATCAAATCTCTTGATTAAGAATTTCAAGTGTTTTTACAATCCAACCCTAATTGACTTAAAGCTGAATTTAGGCTGTGAGTGGCTTTAATTTATATGCAACTTTTGTTCTCTTTTTACATGCAACTTTTGAGCAAATACTCAATTAAGAGTACAGTGAGAAATAAGTTTATACTGGATTTTTTTGATTGTCAGCATTTCAAGAAACCACATGTAAAGGGTGCTTGACCAAAGCTCCAAGGACAAGCACATAACATCAAAGACAAATACATTCAAGACTTATCCTCTATATAACCATGTATGTTACTTTCCTCAGTAAATGTACCATCTGCACATTTTCACTCTGTGTGTGTTTTGTCAGTGTTCAAACGGGATGCAAGATTAAAGCTAAACGCTGTGCAGCTCCCCATCATTCACACACTTATCTGTAGATATGCGCCCTGCATTTGAAGATATAAACAGCAGCTTGCGATGGTTAGTCAATTGTTGGGATAGATTTCTGATATTTGCTCTAATGGAGCGAGTAAGAGTTGTCTGAGCTCTGAGGAAAGAATCCGTTAATGTAGGATTTGTTTCACGCTCACTGGTCCAAAAAGACAAACACATACAGACAAGAAGAATCCAACCAGAACTCACCTGCAGAAAAAAAAAGGCTACATCTTAAAAAACAGCAGCTATCACAAAGACATCCAAGTCAAAAAAAGTTTTAGGTCAATAATCAGTGATAACATAAGAAATAAAGATGGTAGTTCTCTTTCTTGAATCAGTGTTCGAAATCTTGTTGGAATCTTTTTTCCAGTTTTTCTTGTTTCATCTGTACATGTGCACCTTTAAAATCTGTCAAAGAGGCTCTATGAATACTTCATCATTATTCACTGAGATGATGTATAATGCTTCAGTCCTGATGCTCACGTAATTTTCTTGCTGTAATTATCTCTTGTATCTCAAGTGTTATTGATATCTTATTCATTGCTGGTGTGACGACCCAATTTCCCGGAGGAAAATATTAAAATTTCACTAATCTGATTAATTTACCCCCTCCCCGATCCCAATCCTTACCACCACGCTCATAATCTGCAGCTCCTTCAGGACAAAGTCCACCTTCTTCTGCGTGGTCAGCGAGGCCAGGACAGCATTGTGGCTCCTGCAGGCCAGCTTGGCGTTGTCATACGAGTCCTTTGCTGTGATGAACTTCAGACAGGAATTGCCCACCAGATGCCAGCTTTCACCACAAACGTTTTCTATATTGGACAGATTAGATGAGGGGTTGGTACTACAGACACTACAGGTTGGTAGGCTGATATATTAATTGACAGTATATCAATGGGGAAAACTAGGATCTGTCTTTGGCTATCCATCTTAATTCATCTATACACTTCCTTGAATGGTATTCCCCCTTCTTAGATTTTATTTATTTTGAATCGATTTCACAGGTCTGAAGAGGTAAAGCAATTCAGTATTTCACAAGAAAATTAAGAGAAAAAAAAAAAATTGTGTAGCATTAATGTTTTTTTTCTTCTCTCGTATCCCTTTAATCATCTTGTCACCCCTCAGATTTGTCTTTCAGCCTCTTGGGGATATGCGATACACAGGCTGGGAACATTTGTCTCCCCCTTCTGACATTGATAGTAAATGCACTGTCGACACACGCTTCCGACATATAGACTCTGCCAAAATGAGTTGCTGCTGTCGCTATGGTTGCTCCCCCTTCTAAACTGGTAAACCAGTCATTGCTGTTTGACATTAGATACATCACTACCAGTGTGTCGCCACAGACACAAAATCTGGTACACTGCAAATACAAATAAATTCATCCGACGGTGATAGTCTTAATCAGCATTGTGTGAATTTGTTTGGCGAGGACTTGAATGTAATGGATGTTCATTTTATAAGTCCTGCACACAAGTTATATATTTGTCTCCGCCTGTGTATGTAGTTAATGTACATTTAAGTATGCAAGGGTGTGATGCAACTTGTGCGTGTTATGCTGATTTTTCTGAATCAAATGGTTTGATTTCCTTTTTCCCCCCCAAACAACCACAATTACCTGGCAGTGAGATGCACTCCTGGTTGCGAGGTTCCCACTGACAGTTCTGGTCCACAGAGCAGCTCTTGCAACTGGTTTTCTTGTTGCACACATATGAGGGGCTGTCCTTGGGGCACACTTCATACTCCCCTATGGCCCCCTGGGAAGAGAAAGCAGAATATAACAGCTCCATAAAGTACATTCGCTCATTTGGCACAAAATAAAATGTTATTTCATTATGAATAGAAAGCAACATAATTTTATGAAGAGGACACAGGTCTTGTCACATGATTTTCAATAAATAAATAACTGAAGGGTTTGTGGACATAACGGGAAATAAATCTTATTACATAAAAAGATCCTCTCTTACTGACAATGCAGCTATTTGAGTAGAATTTTTTTTTTTTTTTCCAGAAGTTATAGATTACAAAATAACTAATTACTACTCAAATATTTTAGAGACAAGTGCAGATAAGTGCGCTGGAGGAGACACATTGGTGTCATATTGCATCTAAATGAGCAGAGATTTAATCAGAGATAAAATCAGATCCAGTGTTGGAAACAAGAACGTGCTTCATCAGTCCTCTATCTAATCATTACTGTACTTTGACATGTCCCAATTTATAAGGTGTAATAACTCTTGGAGGAAATAGATTGGTTTGTCACAACAGCTTTGTATCCTATTTAAAATAGCGAACATCTTCCAAAGTTAGTGGACTCCATAGTGAACCCACAGTGTCCAAGCATTCATCATTCTGTGCTTTAAGGAGCCTATGACTGTTCAAAATTATAAGGGGATTTGTTTATTACACTATATCTAGAAATTACAATTATATAGCTCGAAAGGCAAGAAAAAGTTATATACTGGAATGTTTTTGTTACAGAGCATCAGAACTTTAATTATAATTGTTTTCCATGTGAAAAAAGCATAATAAAAAAGGTTTGAAAGCATGAAAGGGGAGGGGCGTTGTTTTTTTTAACTAAAACATTACGATATGATTTTTAGGTTCTAAATTGCCTGCCTGCCCATCCTAAGAGGGCAGGCAGGCAGGCAGGCAGACCGTTAGCTGTGATTTCCCTTAATCCTCTCAACAGGTTTGGGGTCATCAGGGTTAGCATCGTCAGCGGTGGCCGTTTTCTTACCGTGTTAGAGGTGCAGTTGCTTCCCAGAGACACACACTGACCAGAGCACCACTGGCAGCCGTTGGTATTAGCAGTGCAACTGTAGCAGTCTGTATACTGGTCACACCTCTCATTATCAGCATCTGCAAAGTTTGGAGGAACATGGTATATTAGAAGTTTTGTTCTAAAAACAATGTATAGTTTTATGACCATACAAACAGAAATGTATACGATTATGATAGAAAGTAGCTGAGTTAGTTCAGTGTTGGCGATTTACCAGATAACAGTGATGATCAAGTATTCATATCCTTTAAATGAGTAAAACAAACAATACAACAGTGTGTAATACTCTGTTGCATGTCGTTCTTTATTTCAAATGTTATTCAAGTAAAACTATTATTAGCAAAGTATCAAAAGTACTCAAAGGTACAATTTTAACCCACGTGAGTATTACGTCACTAAATATCACATTATTGGATTATTATTGCTTTTGCATTATTGTGAAGCATTTCATTCTTTAATGCTTAATTTTAACATTTTCATTCATCTTCACCAATGGATCATATTTTAGATCATATTTTCTGTATGTAAAATCTCAATCTGTAAAGTAACTTTGACATTAATGTAGTGTAGTCAATAGTACAATATTTTCATCTGAATTGTAGTAAAGCAGAAGTATAAAGCATAAAATGCAAATACTCAGGGATAGAAAAGTATAAGTGCCTCAAATATGTACTCAAGTACATGACTTGAGAAAATTCACTTCGTTTTGAATTCATAAATAATGAATTAGTATTATTTATATTCTTTAAGTCTTCTTCTAATCTACCGTTTAACTACTGTAATTTCTTATTGACAATTTGACATATAAGCCTAAAACGAAAGAACAGGACATTTATTTAGTTCTTGTTTATTTCTTCCAAAGCAGTTTAAGTAATTCTGATTCTGCCATGAACCAAAAATCGGGCAACAGTTCCTGGACATGAGGTTTCTTCTGGGGAAACGGGGGGCAGATTGACTGCCAGACAGCAGCAGAGCAGGAAGGCCTCCTTGGTATTAAATGTGCCTGAAAGATATTCCAGGGTGCAGTTTCCATCTGCCGGCGCTTCTGAAGACGCCGACACCAGAAAAATGAGACTGGCTCTGTTGGGGAAACTGAGGATTTTTTCTGTGACAAATGGCAAACACCAAACAGAAGAGAATTCTCAGCGGGAAGCAGAGAGACCTGGATAAACTGTCCCTGATGATTACTTCTTCCTGTCCTATCTGACACACAAGCGCACCCCCCACCCCAATCATCTGTCGTTTTGAAGAAAAAAAAAAATAATACTAACTTATTAAATGTAGTGGAAAGTTTCTAGGACACATTAACGCATGAGGAACACGCAGATGAACACTCCGTTGATCACACCAAGGCTAAAGCTGACAATCTCTGAAAATATTTTGATTAATTAATGATCTCAGGGTGACATCAGCACAGGAAATTTGCTTTTGTAAGGGCCTTTCTGAACACTTAGTTGCAGTGCTAAAACTATTAAACAACTATTTTCATTGTTGATTCATCTGCTGTTTCTTTCTTCAATCAAGCATTTAAAAGTTTAATTTATAAAATGTCAGACAATCTTGCCCAGGGTGACTTTCAAATATGTTGTTTTGCCTGACAACAGTTCAGAAATCAAATATATTTCTTTTAAAACAGAAAAGCAATTAATGATGTTGTTGGTATCCATCTCCCAAGCGTCAGTGATATCGGTGAGGTGCCTACGCAGATCCCAAAGGATACTAAACGACAGTACCCACCCAGCCACAGCCTGTTCACCCTGCTGCCTTCTGGAAAGAGATAAACGAGTTTCTGCTGCCGCACCACCTGACTGCAGAGCAGCTTTTTCCCCCAAAGCTATCACACTCTTAAGCTCAAATTCATCCTCAGCACTGCTCCATTGATGATAGTTAATGTCTGTTTACCATTTTTAGAATTGCTTTGATATTAATGTATATTGTCTGCTACATAGCAGAAGGGAGTTAAAAACTCAATTTCACTGTAAAGCCTGTTGTATTGTGACAAATAAATCACCTTAATCCTCACGTAGAGCTGGTGAATGCTTGGCTTGATAAATTACTTAAATGATTATTAGAAATGTTGTTGATAATTTTCTGTTGATCAACTAATGAGTTGATTCGGTTTCAGCACATAATTACATGCAGAAATGATCTGAACAGTTCCTAAAGATGCATGGTGGATACGTTTTTTTCCTATTTTTATACCATTTTCACTCTCTCATTTGAAAGACTGCATTGGAAGTACTTGACAAACAAGCTGTTTCTGCCAGTCTATGCATGCTATCAGACATCAGTGTTGTGAATGCAGATGAGTTCTGCAGGCACTCAAGAAAAGACAGCAAGTATCTAAAATCCTTTCAGATTCGTTTCACATGGCAGATGTGCACCATAGCAGGATTTCAATGCCAGGGCGGAGTCACCTACATGATCGTGTGTTACAGGACGCTGGTAGCTGCTGATGTTCGGTTCCGATAGCGTTCTCCCAGGGCAGGCAGGTCCCCTGGGTGTTGTTCCAGACGCAGTGGATCCCCGGCCAGGCCTGGCTACAGGACGCCATGCTGGTGAAAGCTGAGCAGCTGGGCGAGGTGTACATGAGGACGTCACTAAGCAGCAGGCTGTTGAAGCCGCCAAATACGTACATCACACTGTGAGACAAGAGAGGAAAGATGATGTTAGAGGGCTACTGGGGAAGGTGGTGAGAAAAGGGAACGGATTAAGGAAGTAAAATGAGGTGATTTCTGCCCTGCAATCTTCCCGTTTAGACTTTTGTGCAAAGTAAGAACTAGAGAAGCTCAGTCAGAGCGCTCTTCCTCTTCTCAGGGCTTCAACTCACCTCACAGGTCTGCTAAATCCCCAACAAGCACCCTCTTCCTGTGCAGATGGACCTGACAGAACCCCCTGCTGTGTCTATGTCAGGTCTAGGGCATTTCTTAACATATTTCTCCACTGGCCTCTGTTCAGTTGCTGGGATTAGTGTGCAAGTGTGAGTCTGCATGCATGCGTGTGCGCTGGTGGCACACGGCTGAGTAGGGTGGATGGGTAATTTGCACCAGTCTGATCATAAGTCCCCTTGGATCATACAGGGCACACTTCAAACTATTAGCTGAACGTCCTGCTGAGCACACAGATCAGGAAGAGGAGAATGTCTTGCAGGGGACCACATAAGATGTGAGTCACTGTGGACGACCAAGACAGGGAGGGCAGTAGAAAAATTACAGATAAACAAATTTTCTCACTCTGTCTTTGTCTCTTTCTGCCTACACAGTAATGGTTCAGTAAGTAATTTTTACAAAAATAACCTTCTGGCATATTTGCTTTGTCAATTTATCCTGACAGTAGTACATAGAGACAGATAATCTGTGAAAAAATGACCAGTGCCTAGTGCCCCTAATGACATATGCAAGAACCCACCGCACTGGAACGAAAGAGACCTCCTGGCTCTGATGGATTGTTAACAAAGTGGCAATCACTGCTTGTGTATTGCCTTCCTGTGCATGGTCTCACTCTGCAGGCAGCTTTAGGATGAGCTTAGCAAAGAAACACAGTGGCTGAGCAACAACCACCAGCAATGGAAAATCATCCCATCCCTCTTTTGCCAATAAAAGTGCACTGTACAAAACTGTGTGTGAACATGTCCCGGCCCCACATGGCGCTTCAGGCTCATTATGCTCAATGTCATGGCGCTCTTATCGACGAGAGGCATAGAGGGATGGTGACAAACAGTGGGGAATAACTTTTGAGAGGGGACAGTAGTGTGTGTGTGTGTGTGTGTGTGTGCGTGCGCCTCTGAAGCCTGGGGCCCTGGAGGGGCGTCTTTGAGAAGATGAGTCGCAGTGAGAGAGCATGGTCTGGGTGAGGCTCGAACAATGCCTGTGGGGGGATGAGGTTTCGCAACTGGCCCCTTCTGCTGCCGTCAAACTTGTGGGTTTGGGGGAAGGGGCTTAGCGAAGTGACACAAGCAGCAGAGAGAGACAGCTTTAATAAAACAGTGGTTATTTGTTTTGCTTTACGTTATGTTTACGTTGAGTGTGAGGTCTGAACTAATGATATGGACCAAAAATGAGTTCGTATAGTGTTCACACCAGAAACTAATTGCTCCAGAGTTCACTTGACAGTAGTCCGAGACCACCTCTTTGAGGCAGACCAGAGAGTGGTTGTCTGGCCCGCACCAGAGTTCAAGTCCAGCGTTCACATCAGCCCCAACAAACCGCACCAAGGGGGTAAACACTCCAGGGTTTAGTTTAACCGTACTAAACAAGGTTGGTGAACAAACCCGCAAGACATGCAAAAGGTCAATGGATGAGTGGATGTATTGCATTTCTATAAATGGTATTACACCTGCTCGTATTTATGGCGTGTTTTAAAAAAAGATAAAGAATGAATAATTCTAGTCATTACCTTTACAAGGTGTTTCAAAGACAAACAGCCCAAACAATACAATAATTTATATACATAATAATGCAATTTAAAAAGGCAACACAAATTTCAAAAGGAAGACTGTCCCAGACTTTGGAGAGCCCCGACAGCAAAGCGCTCATCTTCCCTTTAGTTTAAGTCTAGGATCTGAGGTTGAGTTTGGGACCACATAGGCAAAAAACACTCACAAATGTTCGAGACCATGGAGTGGAGTAAATAAATGTCTCCTCCCTACCCCTATTGTCTCCTGTAATTTACCTGCAACGTTCCAAACTAAAACTTTACCTTTATGGCTCAACCTTCCTCACAACACTGCCTTTGAACTAGTGCAACCAGAGTGCATTCTTGCAGACAGGCAATTTCCTCCGGACTACATTTTCAATTTTTTTCCCCTCCCCATTACGTACAGTATTTGACCATTTTGTTTTGAATCCTTACTGTAAAGAGCCTTTGAAAATTTTCTTTCAAAAGCAAAAATGGTCAAATAAAACATCTTCTAAATTAAGTCTCAAGTGATTGCACTGAATCTGATCAGCGAATAAATGCATGAACAAACTCTTAATTGCTCCTGAGGAACGGGAGTCATCAGTGAGGATTGACTCAAACAGGGCTGGTGATTCATGTTAATATTTGATTCGTTCTCTACAACAGGATGTATAATTTAATATGGATCGCTGTGTCTTGCTCTGCTGGCAGTGCAGATAATACTTACAGATGAGTCATCCCTACTGGTCGCAGCAATATCCCCATCAAAATCTATTCATATCGCACACTAATAATGAAATGTCATGTATGAATGCTCAAAAGCTTATTTTCCAAGGTAACAATGTTTATTTTTTATATATACACACACCGTCAGTTGTTTTTGGATTTGAGAGTTGCTATAGGGTTTACAGTATGTTGAACTAGTAAGATTTTTTTCCCTACTCAGCTTGTGGATTTAGAAAACAAACACCACCACCGTTTCCACATTTCTTTTGGGAGAAATAATCAAAAACAGATTATATTCAGTTTATTAAAATGATTTATGTAGCAATCAATTAAATAAAAAATGATTATGGGTGACTGATAGTCAAGATCACAGTATGTATATCAAAGTAGTCAGGATTATAATTAAAGTCTCCTTCAGTTGCATTCTACACTACATGAAGTGCAGCATGGAGCCACATTCTCAGCTGTGTGAAAGGGATATCGAAGTAACAATCCCGCGTGTTGCATTTGTCCCTTATCAAACAAGCGATGTAGCTTTGAAGGTTTTGATCCCACAAAGCAACAAGTCGATAGACATTTTTGAACTTTTTTCCCCTATATGAAATTCTTCAGTCAATACAAGGAAGAAAAAAAAAAACAAAAACAGTTCAGCTCTCAACTGTGTGGTTCTTCTGCCAGCAAGGATTTCAATTCATAAATTCAGACACCCACAAAGAGCTTTACTTTCGCAGGAGCAATCTTTTTTCATTTCCCACAAAATAGAGGAGCCCTCATTTTAGTTTGATATATATTTCCCTTTTTTCCCCTCCAATAGCCTGTGTGCATTTTGCAGATTGTTTCTACACCCATGCGTAGAGCACAGAGATGTGATCGCAATAAAAAAAATAGGAAAGAACCTCAAAACTGTAATTTCCCATTAGAAAAGCCGAAAAGTCCCATAATGTAAAACAGTGCAATGCATATGAAAGAGAAAATCTACATCCCCGCTCAGATTCACATCAGATGCAAATACGTGTTTGTCTGTATAACAAATTCCATTCATCGTGTCTTTAAATATCATGAGTGCATAATTAAACATGTGTGGGCTCCAGTAGAAATAAAACCTGTCACCCTGGTTTACATGCACTCAAGAAACAAGGTTACTAAGAGAAATCAGGTTAAGACAGGAAATCAGAGAACATGTTTATGATTATGTCCAAATAAAATGTTTCAATTTATGTCCTATTTTGTTTTATCTCGTTTTGATTCCATCTAGTATTTTAGCCACTTTAAAATAAATAAATCCTTATTATTATCATCATCGATAAAGCCTTTCAGTGAAGCCTTCTGCAAACTCTTTACTTAAGTGCTGAATAAATGATTACCTGTCACTGAAGACCGCTGAGTGTCCGAAGCGATTGACGTCTTGGTAGAGGTCCGGTCGAGGGAGCACCGTCCACTCATCACATGCTGGAATGACAAGAAGACACAGAGGTCAAGCTGTTGACCTGGTCTTGCATATTCAATTATACATGCCTTCAGCAGTTGGAAATTCAGCTGACATGCCATGGGTGGTTAAGCGAGACCTTTAACAGCTCACATCCTCGTGTCAATCAATGAGTCATTCGGCTAAGTGTCCTTGACTGAGACACTGACGGCTACAGGAACAACAATCATGCCAAGAAAATGGAGCCAGGCATACGTTTCTGGCATGTAAAAGAAACAGATTCATAAATTATGGTTTCATACAAGCAAGTAGCTTGTGAAAAATAAGGTTCACATCCTCCTGCTGATCTCATTTTCAGGTTGTAGCTACAGGTTCTGAATACTGCCGTTAAAATCTGTTGTGTTTCTGGCTTCTCAGAAAACAAAAAGTGGTTACAGATCTGAATGTTTAACATTTGCAGGGAACGGCAGTTATAAACAAAACTTAAAGGATTTGATAAAGAATTTGAAAAGATACGGATTCAGATTTGATGGAACGCTACAGAATCCCAATCCTGCCTCCCCTCCCAATGCTGATGGCCACAAGAGGAATTAGACAACCCTGAACAGGAATAAGTAGGCACCATTAGCACTGATTTAGTGATTTGCAAGTCAAACGACAGCGAGGCATAAAAAAGGTTACATGCAGGCTTGATTTGATTTTAAAAAAGTGGTAGGCATGTGGTTCACAACCTTTTTGGGTTGTATAAATATGTTTTTCTCACTTATCATATTTATAATCTTGTGACACTTAATATTGATCTTGATCAATTTGGGATCCTGCCCCTCATGTTGAACTACTGGTTTAGATGTCTAGGTGACACATAACCCTCGTTTAAAAACAATTTGTATTTCAATACTTAAGTGCTGAAATTTTGTCACTGAAATGTTATACAAGTACAACCTTGATGTCAGAAAACTTTCACTTTCACTAAATGTAGCAAGATTTTATACCCAGAATATCAGTGAATGTTTACTAGGTAAATTAATATGGTAACAGATTCCTTTAGGGTTGTTTTTAAATGAAGCTCCAGCTGTGTGCGACACAAACATCATGATGTACAAACAAATGAAAACAAACAAAAAAAAAGACCTGGCATGTGAGCCTGAAAGTCAAAGCTGCTGTAGCACAGAACAGTAAATGCAGTACATCACCGTCAGTCAGTACAATGCAGTGCAAGTCATCATGGTCTCCCAGAGGAGAGAGTGACATCTGTGAGAGCTGCACATTCACAGGCAGACACTGCCCTCTGGTGTCATACACCGGTACTGCAGGTGGTGTAACACATTGCCCCGCAGAGTGCGAATTTATTATGACACCATCTACCAATGTCAGGACAGCGGACGCCCTTAAATTTTACGCTCTAATTTGGTTCAGCTTGTTAAGGAGGGGTGATTAGTCCTCGGTGCGGGGCCCATTTCGACTGTAATTACCAGACAATTACAGAGCTGCTGCTGCTGCCACCGATCCTGCAGCTGGCTGGTAGGGAAGGAAAATAATCTAAAATCATACAGAGGATGAGGAGTGGCAGGGAGGAGATAGGGGTCAGAGCTGAGAAAAGGAAGACAACAACAATACTTTGAGTCCAACTTTAAAAATGAAAAACTTAAACGCGAACTCTGTGGGGAAATCATGAAAACAATTTATTTCCCGCAGTGCTAGTGGGAGATGAGTTAGTCCCATTACGCCAATCAAGTGAGGGCACGTAGCAACATAAATGTATAAATGGGACACTATGCTCAGAATTAAATCAGTGTGCTGCTGCAGCCTTCACCGTCATCTGCTCTTCACTCGGATGAGCTTGAAAAGGGACGTTTGTTGGGGATGTTTCAGTCCCAATATGGAATTCTCATGAACAAAAGTGCATTGCACAAGAAGGGAAGCGGACGCTTGTGCCCCCGATATTGTAATTTTGCTGCCTGTCAATCATCGTAATGACACAGAAAAATAGAATGTCCTGGGGCCATTTCACGGCCCCCAGGGAATTCTCCCTCCCATCATGAAGCCTCCCATTAATGAGCAGCTTATGACAGCACTGTAGAAGGAGGCCGACTCAATTTACAAAAATGTTTGCAGGCAGCTAAACAAAATGAGGATGCCAGGATGACTTTTGAGCTGATGTGTGCTAATGTGGAAATGTGCTAACTTCTATTAGGACACAGTGAATTTTAAATGGGATTCTAATAAGAAGGCATAAACATATGCTACAGTGGACAACAATTAACTGTTCATTGTCATATTTAACCAATAAAAGGACACACAGAAAACGTGTTTTCCCATCCTACACTCTTCTGCTTCTGACACACATCGAGGGAGGTAGTTCTATACCACTTTCTCTCTGCTGTTGAGCAGCTGTGTTACACAAACTGAGGGTGAAGTATTTTGATTAAAGGCGCCCTAGCGTCAAAAAAAAAAAAAACAAAAAAACAAAAGGAGGAGCACAAGAATAAGGATTCGAGAGACACTCTGAGTACTCGCTTGTATCAGCGGGGTCGCACTGCACTCCACATGTGAAAAGAGAGGCAGACAAGCGCTCCGCAAGTAAACAGCAGCCACTCTATGGGTAGTAACCATGGCAACGGCTTCTGTGCACTCCTGCATCCCTGCCGGTACAACTATTTTCTTTATAGTCTATACAAAAACAGTTATAACAACAAATTTAAACAAATATTTCTTGTAGAATCTATTGAAATAGTCAATAACTTAATAAACCAACTACTAACTTTCAACTTAGTTTACTTACTAAATTTACAAGCGAGTTTAGCGGAGTATGCTAATTAGTTCTCTGAGTACGTCTGGTGTACGTCTTTGGACTGGCGTCGAAGACTAGTGCTCTAGATGTGTAAATAATTTTTAATGAGTAAGAGAAAGTGAAGGTCATTGCCTGTTTTAGGTCCTGGTAACTGTTAAAAGGAAACATTTATACAACTCAGGAAACTCACCAACAGTCAGTATCAGTCTCTCGTCCGCTACTGACACATTGTGCGTCACACAGAAAAGAGACAATTCAATTGTGCGTGAGCAGGACAGTGTCACAGGATTGCACCCACCTGGTCGCGCCACCTCCTTTCCTATCCGCTGGCCTGTCATTGAAAATGATTTAGTAGGCGCGTCAATCCTTCCTGTCTAAAAAGGCCTTTAAAGTGCTAAGTTTAGTGTTTATATTATAAGCTTTGATCGCTCTGTATTTACCTTCACCATGAAATCCTCAAGGAGTCAAGTGTGAACTGCAGCTTGAGGGGATGTATTACGGAATCTGCCAATTAGCCCCCTAAAGACCTGAATTTCCTTTATGGTACTACTGTGAATAAAACACAGATGCCAGGCACACTAATAAAAGCTTCTGAGGTGTATTTCATGTTATAACTTGCTCAGAGCAGCATTTGTTTTGAGCATGAGTCTGAGTGTAAGAAGTTTAAATCTTCAAAAGTCTACAATATATGCAGGCTACCAATAGGTCAAGTATATCGACACCTGAACATCAACAGACTGGTTTCAGATTTTCCACTAGATTTTGGTGCATGGCTTTGCTCCCATTCAGCCACAAAAGCGTCAGTCTGACTGTCAACTACTGATGTTTGGAGATGCGTCTGTGAGGGTTCCTCACAATTATCCAGGTGATATTCATGTCTGGAGAAAGTTAAATCCAAACTGATCGACAGGAGTTAAGATTAAATACAAGCTGTCAAGTCTAACACAAAACAGAATAACCCCTTGAGAACTCCAAACTCCAGTCCTGTACTTTGGATTTAACTCTCTCCAGACGAGGGCTGCCAGCTATTCCAGCAAACAAGATTAATATGCACATAAATAAACTTTATAGCTTTCAAAAGCCCCCTTAAAAGTCAAACTCACACTTCTGCATGAAGATATTACAAATATTAGTGTGAACATGCAAAAACACTGCACTGCTGGAAAATTGAAGAATAAATTATTTGTATTATGTATGAAAAGGGGCTGTGGTTTCCCACTCATGTACATCGAGTTGCGACATTTGACCTTCTCTTGCTCCAGAGGAGCCGCTCACTGTCGGACAACAAAACACTGCAGTTGTACTGAGCAGCTCCCAGGTGTGAGACTGCGAGACTGTATGAATGCAAAGCAGCTCAGTGCAGGAAAAAAAAGATGATGCAGGATTAGCAGAAAATCCTGAGTGAAGCTGAGAATGCAGACCGTAGGAGCTGTGGTTTTGTGTGTGTTCAAATTGAAAAGATTTTCCCTCAATTGGGAAAAAGCTAATTTTTGGGTCAGTGGTAAAGCTTAGGGTTAGGCAAGTAGAAGTCATAGTTAAAGCAAATCTCCAGGAAATTAAAGTAATTCTATTAAATGTCCACATCCCGAGTAAACATGTGTGTGTTACTGACCCAGACTGTACGCCAGGAAGTCCGAGGAGAAGCACTTGGCACCGTGGCTCATGGACGTGTCGTTGTGTGTGTTTCCTCCAAACACCAGCATCGTCCCGCTCACTATCACCGCTGTGTGGAGGTATCGGAAGAAGCCGCTGTCTCTCAGAATTACCCTGCACAATCACACATAGAAGTTATACATCTGTTACTTCAGACAGGCAGTGTGGCTGCTAAAATGAGTTTCATCTGTTCTCCTTTTTTGTTAAACAGCTGTTTTTCTTTTTTTTTTTTCCCCAAAAAGTAATTTCAAATACTGACTTCTTGCATAAATTGCACTTTTTTTCCCTTGTTGCTATTTGTAGACTGCAGACTCCGTTTTAATGAGGTTAAGCTGATGATACACGGGGCAACTTTTTGAGCAATGAAGCTGGGCAATCTTGGGGCAAAGTTGCTCTGTGTATCATCAGCTTTAGTTACGGTTTGACAGTATGATTTGATAATGACCATTTCATTATAAAATGTGACAATGATACAGAGAAGATTTCAGAGAAAGCACAATGTTTTCATATGATAAACCTTCTGTGTGATGGATTACCTAATTTGAGACTCTTTTTACAATTTGACTCATGGTATGGTATTATGGCACATATCTGGGGTGTTGTGTGTTGCACTGATTCCAAACTTTTCTTGCTTGTGACCTCCTAAAATGAAGTGCACTATCAAATTACACTGCACCAAAATTCCTGTTGCATGTGTGTCTGTACGAAATACAGTATTGTCAGTATAAATCTCACCATTTTCTCTTGTCCACGTCGAACTTGTACAGGTCTCCAGCCAGGCCATACTTGTTGGCACTGAAGGCTTTGTAGCCTCCGTGGATGTAGATGGCTCTGGTGCTAGGGTCGAAAACACTGCTGTGGCCGTAGCCGCCCTGGACCAGAGCACCGTCTGTGACACCATGCTCCAGGTGTTCTTGGCTGGAGGGTCACACAAACATTTTACTGAGCAACATGAAAGCTGCTCCAAGTTTATCACAATTTAATGAAATACCACTAAGAAAGTAAATTGAAACTGCAGTTTAAGAAGGTTAAGAAATGCCTCAGTGTTTTTGTGGAGGACTGGGTTTTTAGTCCCAGCAGGGATGCAGTGGAAGGAATTACAGCTTAACTCAGTTTACAACACATTTTATTAGGAAAACAGAGTTAAGCAAATGTAAATCTTTGTATCATTGTTCCTAAAATGCTTAACAAGTACAAAAGTAGCATCACACCGCCATCAGATTTTATATTGGCTTAGCTCACTCAGGACACGATAATAACCAAATCACTTTCATTTGTAAGCAAATAACAGATGCACTCTTGTCCGTCGGCCTCAGCGGCAGGTTAATTCATCCCATTTTCTCAGACAGATTGGCTTTTAGAAGACAATGAGACCTCTAAACTAAGTTTGGCTGCCTGCCAACAAAGTTGGTGGATTAGATTAACACACCACCTGAGTCCAAAACTCGTTAACTTCATTTTGGAGGCCAGTATTAATTTCCTGTTAGAAATTGATTTATTTAGATACCAAAATCCAGGCCAAGGTATTAGTTAAAGCACGGGAGCAGCTGCAGTTGGGTGCACTGCTCAGCGACACATGGCAGATGAAAGATTCAAGTGTGAGTTTTTGTTTTTGGACGGTCTCTCTTTAACACTACATGAACCTGCAGCTATCTGCTTGAACCCACAACAGCACCTTCAACTTACCGATGTTGTACTCCTGCACCTGGCTGATGTAACCGTACAGAGGACAGTGTCCAAACAGAACCAGCATGATGGGACTGGCACCCTCCTGGATGGGAGGCACAATATGGGCCGAGTGTCCCACCACGGCATACTGCTCCTTAGCCCGGGGACTCAGGAGGACCCAGGTCTGGTTCTGAATGTGGAAAACCCAAAGCTGGCTGGACACGTTTCCTGTGGAGTCAATCTTTCCTCCATACATGTAGATCTTCCCCTGGAAGAAACAAAGACAAACCATGGCGCAGAATTAGATTACTGGTTATATTTACGGCCCGAAAAGTTAAAAGTAAGTTTGTTATACATACATTTAAATACGTTTGTAAATACATTAAAATACCATCCACCATTGTGTCCCTGAGCAAGACACTTAACCCCTAGTTGTTCCAGAGGCGTGTGACCTCTGACATGTATAGCAATTGTAAGTGGCTTTGGATAAAAGTGTCAGCTAAATGAATAAATGTAAATAATATTTTTCACACATTTGTCCGTCTGTAAAATACCATGCTTTAGTTTGACAACTTAATTAATTAATTTAGGCAGAGCTTTTTAAGCGCATTATAAGCTTAAACTGACGACCATTTTTTCCACATAACGCTGACAAATGAACTTCCTATTTCTGTTAGTTCGATGCAACTTTATTTCCTTTATTTGCATGTGTATTTTGTTTCTTCTGCTATTTTTTGGGAAGTTCAGGCACACTGTGTTCAATTAAACTGGTGAATCCTGATGAAAAGCAGGTTAATCGGCTTAAAAGGAAAAGCCTGAACTGTTGAAACACACATGGTTTGTCCACTTGCTGGTCTAACCATCAGTACATAGGATGCTGGTCAAGAACTGGGATACACTTTGTACCTCATTGACTGAGCTAAAGCCTGGCACCTTCATTACAATGATATCCAATTATTAAAAATGAAACACAGCAAAATACACAGGGATTCATCAAGGCATAACAACCTTGCGCACTGATAACTTTCATCTGTCCTTGAGTTTTGAATACCACGTTTATTATTATTCCCTGGACCTTGTTTCCTACAGAACAAGTTTCACCACTAAATAGACCCGACGACAGTCTGGAGGTCAGACAGAATAATGTCTCTTGATATTAAGAGCCTCTCATTTTACTGCCTTGATTTTATACTAAAGTAATGACGAATAAATTACTCATGTAACTTGATAATGTGTGTGCAGTCTCCCTAACTCCTTGAGGTTGGGTACTTGTGGTATTACAAACAGTAGTTGTAGTTCAGATTGTGAGCATCACAACTGATTTGTTCAGTTTTTGGGATTCATTTGAATTTGGTTGATTTTCTATTAATAAATCCTTGAAAAGGTCTTAAAAAGGCACTGAATTCATTCATCTAAAAATAAGGCCTTAATTGGTATTAAAATGTCTTAAATTAATCTTTCAAAAGTCTTAAAAAATGCCTTGCGCATCAACATCACGCAGCTCAGGATAGCAGAACCAATAAAACTCATATTTTGTTAGAGCGGAGGACAGATTGTCTGCTAGCTTGTCGTCAGTGTACCCTGGAAGACAGGGGGAAGATGCAGATTCCTAAAAACTTTTGCCATTTAACCAGGATTTGGCAGCATGGCTGAAACGGGTACAAGGCAATGCATACAAGGCTCAGTGTATTTTTTGCAAAATGTTTTTCAAACTCAGCACAATGGGAATCAAGGCAGTGGAATCCCACACGCCGAACGAGAGGCCGCAACAGATCTCAGAACAACATTCAGGTTTATGCCTACACAGGTGGTGTCTGAACATAGTGACAAAATCCCAATCATACAAGTCAAATGAGGGAGGAGGAAACCTATTCTGTGCAATGTTCCAAAAAAGTCATGTTTTATGTTACAAACATTTAGACAAACTAACCCTAAGTAGTTGATGTTCATATTTTTCTTTTCTTCAATTTTAGTTATTGTAAAATTGATTTTTGAAATTGAAATTTAATTCCGAGAGGCATTAAAATGTCTTAAGTCTTAAATCTAACTTGCCTTAAGCTGAAGGAACCCTCTCTTATCATATCATCTCAGAGAAAAGAGAATTACTGGACTCATGAAAGTCACAGAAACTCCATTCCAGGTTTAGTAGTGACAGTAAGGTGTGTGTGTTTGAGAGCCTGAACTAGTACATTATCTGCTCTTGCAAGATTTCTATCTGTTATGTATCACCACGGTTTTGATTTCAGATTTGTCTTGCAAGTCCACATTGACTTACAAGACCCATTCATGCACCAGGATGCAATTTGTGCATTACAAAAACTCTGGAGCTCGAATTAGGTACTCTCAAACCACAGAGCAGACAGAGTGCTTCTTCCTCTGAATCCTCCTCGCTCTGATTTATTATTCCATCAGCACCTCCTAACAGTCTTTCTGTCTGAAAAGAAACTGCTTCACCACTTCACTGCAGCATATCAAAACCCAGATATTTATGTATTAGTTCCAGATAAATACACCACTGAAAGCAGAAATACACGGACAGGGAGTACATTATATTTCTGCCAGTGCCTCGATTTAATTTAGATGTCATCTGTTCCTTTATCTTCTTTTGGAGGCTTCTTCATATCCCAGAGTTGGCAGAATTTTTTTTTGTAAAATGCACTATAATATTAGTGAAATATACAGTAGTGAGTCATGCTGTGGTACATAAGAGATACCTCGTTACCTCATGCAGAGCCAGTGAATGGCCATATCGTGGTGTGACAGTGTTGACGGAGGGGTCAAGGGTCAGCCAGCTCTTGCTACTGAGGTTGTACCTAAAGAAAGAAAACAAAAAGGTGTGACAACCATGACCGAACAGCTTCAAGAAACTCCTCAAGGAATATTTTTATGTATGTGCATTAGTATGTCCTGATCTATTCTATCATTTTTACATGTCAAAGTAAGTTATATGTATAAAAAACAAAGCCCATGGAGAACATAGTTAGAAATGGGCACCTTACTCATAACTTTACAGACAATGTTGGGCAGTTGCACCTTACAGCAGGTGATGAGGCACTATATGTAGCTTGGAACAGGGATTGAACGCTCTATACAGGTTTACTTGCAGTAGCTCAAACCACATTTATAAAAATTTAAAGCACAGCATCATGCGTGTTTGGCATATTTAAGTTTAAGATTTAATGGTAAATGAATGCGGCAAGTTTATTTTATTGACATTGTACCACATGCACATATCTAACAGTCCAACATTTTGGGAAATTCACTTGCTTTTCTTTTTAATTACTCTTTTTAATCTTGCACTTGACACCTATCTTCCTGATAGCCCTAATTGCCAAATAACCCTTTAGTACTCTGTATAAAACAGGCATGCAAGTTAAAAATATTACAAATTTCACAACAGAGACGCTGTGTTTCAAAAACACATTCCTTGCAGTCTCATAGCAACAGGAGGACTCATGTCTTGCACTCTCTTGGATGCGAGCAAGCAGCCAAATGGCTCAAATCAGAGCGTAGATGCTCACAGGGGAGAGTACTTACGCTTTGACCATGTGATAGTCGGAGGCGTTGAAGACGTAGCCTCCGATGACCCACATGATGTCCTGGTCAACCACGGCCTTATGGGAGGCCCTGGCCAACCCAGCTTCAGTGTACTCCTCCCGACTCCAGAAGGAGGAGTTGGCAGGGACTGAGACAGAACAGTCTGGACCTGAAGAGAGACGAAACCCACAATGTCAGGGCTCCACAGGAGATTAAACGATGCAGAAGTGCAGTCAATTCATTTTTTGCACCTATATATGATAGACATGAACACAGAGGAACATAAAACAGATTGCCTTCAGAGAGACTAAAAATACCAATAAAATGAATCAGCATAAAAGCTCTTGGCTTGTGAAAAAGTGGAGGATTAAACTTTTACAGGCTTCATTAGTTTTGTAGCCATGCAGAGCGTATAAATATTGGGGACATCTGCTTTTCATGAATTACCGGTGTAGGTAAAAAAAAAAAAAAAAAAAAGCAACAAAAAAAAACAAACAAACATGATCCATTTTTGATTTTATCTCTTGAATTATGATAGCGAAAGGTGAAAAAAAGGGCAGAGAGGTTAAAGAAACATTTTTAAGTCTTTAGATCACTGAGAGCGATTATGCAGGTGAGGAGTCATTTAGCTCCTGAAGTTTTTGAAATGTTATGTTATTAGCTGTGTAGAGAAAAACTGATGTGTCACAGAAGCTTTACTTGTTGTCTGGAGTGATTAAAGTTTTTGAACATTCTTTCAGGAGACAATAACTATTAAAAGGTTTTACGGATGCGAGTGGCATTACTCTTTTAAACTGTCTTCCCATGTTACAGGTCAAGAACAATAACTGCAGCATAAACCGGAATCGCTCCTGAATGAAGGGAAACGATTCAGAGATGTTTTTTGGCAAACAACTACCCAGTTATAAATACAAAGATTGGTTTTGTCCTGTTGATCTTTTGAATCACAGGTTGTGGTGCAGTTTGGGAGCAGTTTGTTGATCTTGTTCATCTACAGTCTGTCCATCCTTCCTGATGAGTGGTGCAGATGAAACCTGCCTGCAATAAAACATTTATCAACCAAGTGGTTCCGTCACTCCATCTTACAACAGAAACAGGATGTCAGCCACTGTGGGAGTTCCTTATTGATCATTATCAAAACAATGCAGAAGTGGCCATGTGACAGGAAAGGAAGTGTTGTGATCCTCGGCGACAATCAAGGTCATGTTACCCATTACCCATGTTGTTTTGTTCAGTCGCTGAAACAAAATCCCCAGTGGCTAATATTGTTCAACCTGACTCCAGCATCGCTAAGCAAACAAAATTACCTTTGCACCTTGGTGGCATTTCCATAAATAAAACAAACGCAGCCTTAGCCTCCCTTCAAGAAGTAATCTGTTGAAGGCTACGCATCTGTGAAAGAGAGATTAAATGCAAGGCTGGCTTGACTAAACAGGCATCTGTCTCTGCTTTGGACTGTTTGGTGAAGATGAAAATGAGTTCATTTGGAAGCTGGCAGCAAAGAGTACACTAAGTGTGCTATTCCTTGGCTAACACACCATGACAGGGTAATAAAGGCTAAAGAAAACACCAGTCTGTTTCTCAACTCCCTCAGCTTTGGTAATTAGATCGGGAGCACACGGAGCTGCTGATATAACTGCAGTTAAATTAAGCCGTTGTCTCTGATTGTGCCGAGTGGTGCAGTGGAGCCGTTTAAGAAGCAATAGAGCGGTTAAAACGCCCATATGGTCTGATTCAAAAAAGGATACAGTAGTGTCAGGTCATCAGCAAAAAAAAAAAGAGAAGGAAAAAAGACTCAATATTCATGACTCAACCAAAAAGATGAGGAAGCTGATTCTGCAAACAGTTCATTTCAAGTCCATCAGGTTACAGCAGATGGATGCTGTGGGGGTAGCGGGAGCCTCAATAACAGTGGTGGAGGTTTAAAAGCTGAAGAGGCACTGGGTTGAATCACCAGATAAACACGAAAAATCTGGACAGATCGTCAGTAACACTCTTTCCTAAACATCCAACTGCTTCATTGGAGCTGCTTAGTGTTCAGCTGCACTGGATATTTACTAGATCTTTTTCAAGAGATCCCGCCATAAAATTGTTCTTCTTTCTTCTTTTAGACTGGGATTGGCCTTAACCTTTGAATGGAAACCATCCCTCACTACTGAATGGTGGGGTTGTGTCATCAGGCAGCAGGAAACCAGGCCAAATAATGTATATACTGCTTCATTAAAACCTAAATATAGTTTCTCTGTCTTAATTATATGTTTTTACCCAATTATGTGAGCTATTGTTGCGATCCACTGAAGCGTGCCCCCACTCGGGATTGCCACCAAAAATAAGAAAGGCAAAAAAACAAAGTGGCAAGTTCTTTAAACCTGCCCGGTGGCTACCTAGTTAGAGTGCTCAACAGCAAAACTCCCAAGCTACTGAGTTACCAGTCAAAAGCACAACATGTAGCCACAACTTACAGATATTCTAACAAAAGAGACAACCACTACACTCAAGGCCATCAGATGCACATCTTTATGGTTGTTCTATCCCGGACGAGCCCCCATTTGTTACGTCCCACCCTTTGGTGGCAACATGGGACGAACAACACCCCAAACTCAACACAAATAAACACCTTTAAAACAACCAAATCAAGGGAATTTATTAACATAACTAGACAATAAATTAAGAACACCAAAAACACAACACAAAAATGCCCCAGCTGGGAGGCAGCAAGGCTAGCAGTCCCAAGTCAAGAAGGGTGCCCTCCTGACACTTGCACAGCAGCTTTTAAAGCCCGCCTTCCAAGGCCAGGTGGACCTTATTCGGTAATTAGCTGGAGCACTCCCAGAGCAGAACTGAAGGACAGAAAACACGGACACAGCGCAGGGAAACACATACAGCCGTAACAGCTATGCACCACCATTCTAAAAAGGAGTGGTACACTGGGCACTTTGATATATAACCGAGGTAGTCATAGTGCTATATAATATGATAATAACAGATAGATAATCATACTGAATTGGTATTTTGTTTGACTTCATTCATTCTATATGAACACTGATGTGGGCAGCGATGCAGGGGTCTGGAACTAGGCTAGTTATATATGTTCTGTAGTCTTTTACTGACTGGCTAAAAAACAGACCAACGCCTAAGCAGGGTTGCGCAATCAAATCTTCATTTTCTTAACCACTGAAAGCACCATACCTGCTCTATAAAATAGGAATATCAGAAGAAGTCACACTGTATTAAAAGTAAAAAGTGAATCTTGGCAGCTAAATATATGATTTACCTACCCCCTTGGACTAAAGCAACCATTCATTATTCACATAGCATGTAGACCCAGTGAGAAGCTTATTTAAGTCACTGAGGAGGGTTTGGCATGTGTGAGCCTGCTGTAGCCAATCTGATGACATTGTGGTTATTCAAACCAGCGTAGTTTATGGAACAATGAAGTCAATGGTGATGCAGTGCCAGCCCACCTTGCCATCCGGTCATGCAGACGCAGGTCTTGCCCTCGCAGTGACCTCTTTCAGGGGAGCCACAGTCAGCCAGGCAGACGGGGATGTCACAGGCTTCCCCCTTCCAGTTGGCTAGACACTCACAGTAGACCGAACCATTGGAGCTCTCCACAAGACATTTGCCATGGCCGGAACAGTTGTTGGGACATGTATTCACCCTGGGAGGGAGGAAAGAGGAGGTATCAATGACGGAGAGAAACGAGGATTCAAATCCTGCCTGAGACATAGTTGTTGAACGGTGTTCCTGAGGTTTTATTCTGAGTTACACATGCTTTTGTGCGAGCAGCGGCTCAGCTGTCTTCAGGCTTAAAGATAAAATATGCAACATTTCCCCTTTAGCACGAAATCAGTAGAAGATGTTGTTATAGGCATTGTCCTCCCTCATCAGCTGGTCAAACTCCTGCCTCGTCACTCATCTCAGTGGGCACTGAAACAGCATCGTGCTAGAGGCCGAGGTAACTGGCAGACATAAAATCACCACAGGTACAGAAGAGCAGATGGTAAGCACACCCAATCTGCAGTAAAACTGCACTTCCGACACTCTCCATGTTTGTCAACAGGTCCTTTCTGTTAGCAGCCAATTGACACGTTTTCTACAATCAAACTACCTCTTCTATGAATCATACCTCAGTCAATTCAAAACGTACAAACATCACATACATACTGCTAGAAACAGAGTTTTTCCAGTAGATTTATATATCTCAGAATTTAAACAATTTAAACAGAACAGATGATTGCCTCCCAATCAGCTAATGTTGCCTTCTTTAGTTCTTCTTCAGGGGGCTGCTTTCTCTTGGTGAAATTTAAATGGCAATATTAACACGTTTAGTACAACACCACCAATGAGAGTGGTTGCACCAAAAGTCCGTATACAATTATGACAAATGTAAATCAGCTCATTGAATGTCCAAACAACATGTTAAGACATGCAGTGACAGTGCCATAAGCTCGCAAATTAAGGGAGTGAAAACTATGCAAAAACAACCTAATAAATTTCCACTGTTATTGTTGGAGTCTCCACCCACCTTGCTACACCTTCAGCAAAGATATACAATTAAAAATATCCTACTGAAGCTGTGAGTCTTAAGAGATGGGTCACAATTATACTGCATAATTTCATTTTTTATTTAGAGCTCTGTAATTTCCTAAAATGGTAGGTAAATGGTAGACTGTAGTTGTTGTTACACTACATGTCACATTCACATATATTCATACACTGATGGCAGAGGTTACCATGTAAGGTGCCAACCGCTCATCAGAAATAAAGTGTACACACACACTTTGGATTCTTAGACAATACTAATCAATTAATTGTTGGTTTTGGTCTTTTAATGGAATCTGTTGACCATATGAATAATATTGAATATTGCCAGACTTATACTTTACTATGGAAAACACTGCAAACTGTGTACAAGTCTAGAAAATGTCCCTAATGTTTTGATAGCAAGAGTAAACATGTCAATGTCAAAAGTTTTGCTTTGTTTTGGAAACATTATCATCCATCAAACAAGAGAGTGAAGTGAGATGATAGTTTTTTTGCACCTGAAGACAAACATATTTGGGAGAGAGACCGACAAAACAAAGAGCCCTCGTCACTCTTTCATGCTCCTTCAGCAGCCTGATGGTTTGATGTTTCAGCTCCTCCACCTCTCCCAGAAACACCAAAGACTGGGGGCCTGCGGGCACTTTGCTTTCATCCGACTCTGTGTTTCACAGCCCAACTCCAATCTCATCGCTATGGCGACAGTACCAATGAGCTAAGGAAAAATCGCAGGGGTCTATTGTGTGCTTTGCAGATGTTTGGAAGAAACAGGCTCCACTCTGGTTTTCAGAATACTTTTCCTTTTTATGTAAGCCGAAGCAACTAGCTGAATGACATGTCTGGCTATTTCTGACTTGTGCAAAGTTTACTTTGATCTATCCATCGGTGGGTATGGTGTCTTGCACCCAAGTTGTATAAACATGGGATTTAATATGTCGTCTGCGTTTCCAGATCTGTGAGCAAGCACAATATAATGAGATAAAGGGTTTTTGTTGCTGCAACTGAAAAGTTAATGTCAGATACAGACTCATGACATTGACAGCTCACAAGAAAAGAAAGCTTGCAGGAAATGCAACACATGGGTGGAGTGAAGCTCCACTTGAAACTGGAATTTTGTTCCTTGATGCTGGGTTTAGAGAGGTGAAAGGTAGTCTTAATGAGGAGAAGAGAGGAGTTCAATCTTGACCTTAAGTGGACCCGCACAATATATAAACAGATTGACAGTAAGGTCAGTAAGGATGGACAGCCACGGCTGTGGACCCACAAATCCATAAATTATGTTATTCTGTCTTTCATGACATTGTGTATTTTCTTTGGCCTCCACACTGCTTCACAATATGAACAGCACTGATGTTATGATTCAGCCCAGCGGCTAGTTGCAACAGATTTACATTTTATGTTTTAAGGTCCTTAAAATCCCACACGTGCTTTTATAGCATCAGTACCAAAACAGTATATCCACAGAGGACCTACAAATGCTACAATAGAGTATCTGTACCAGACTGTAACCTTACAGTGTCATCACTGGCCAGCAAAAAAGAAATGAGCCAAGTAAATGTGACTGTACATTGCTTGGTTATAGCTAAAGTAATTATAGCGTATGGAAGCAAAGAAAGGCCGTAACACCACTGCATTTATAGTATTTAAATACTATATTTAAATGCTTCTTTCTAGATGTGTGTGGTTGTATTACCCTCATTGAAATTTCCAGAAGGAATTACTCATTTCTAACACTAAATTTCATGATAAAATTTAAATTCTATAAATTCTCATTTTGGTCTTTCTTGTCCAAAAAGGCCTCAATATTATCCTAATTATTATGGCATGTCTTTTCTTCCATCTAGTTTTCATGTCAGCACCCCTCTAAAGCAGGCAGGCACCAAACCCGTTTTGGCTGCAACCAAAACACACAAACATACCACAGTGTGCCTGACTGGCAGAAGGTGTGATGATGCAACAAAAAGATACTGCAGCAAATGGACGGCAGCAGCCAGACATGATCCTCTAAGTACTGTCAACCAGCCGTGCCAGCGCACAGACTGAATCATGCAGAAAGTGATAGCTTTCTATGAGTCATCATGTCCCAAGGAAGGGTGTGAAGTGGGCCCTTCACCTAAAAAAAAAAAAAAATCTTAAACAGCCACTAAAACAGATATGATTTGTACTCAGGTTCTCATCTCTGTGAGTTCAGTATCAATATATTTGTCTATATATTTTATTTAGTTACTTTTATCCAGTGATACCATCATGAATGCATGTGTTGACCCTGAGAGATGCCTGGCAGCTAAACACTCGGCTGTAGAGGATTATGAGTCATTAGATATGTGGAAGCTGCCATCCCAGCTAAGATTTAAAAATCAAGAAGAGAAGAGAATTTCATTTAAGACAACTGGATAATTGATTTTTTTAGTTTTTTCTTTTTTTTTTTAAGTGGAGTTAACTTTAAACTTTTTGGAAGATGCTTTAATTATATTCTAAATATGGAACCAGCATGCAATTTCAATCTGAACATTACCTCTGTATTTACTTTGTTTTTTATAAACAAGAAAATGCAGAAAGTGTTGAAAGAAACCATTTTTATGCTGCGCTTCTCTCACCTGTAGGAAATGTTGAAGCCAGTCAGGTTGTAGGCAGCATCACTGAAGAAGTGTAGTAGGGCGTAGCCGGACTGAGACACCACCTCAGGAACAGTCTCATTCCCATAACGTTCAGGAACAATCAGACCACTGCAATAATAAAAGACAAAAGTGAAACCTAACATATTTTCAAACAACTAGGGGTTATCATTTGTCTTATCCACTTTTGCATCACCGTGCCATTGCCAGTGTTTAAAAGGTCAGGCTGTTACTGAACACAACAGTCTGTTTAATAATGCTTTGTTAAATCCTAATCTTCACAGAGTTTTCTACCACGGCAAAACTCTTATTAGTCTCTCAATGGTGAGTTTGAAACATAATTGATAGTTAATTTAATTTTAATTCACAGGATTTTTAGAGGCTCTCCTGCTCTGATGAGAAGAACAGAAGTGAATACATTTTGGATTAATTAGGAAAAGAGGAGGCTGATTTCCCTTCAGGAAACCCAGTCCACACAGAGGTTACCTGAACGCTAAAAAACAAACTTCAGTCAATCCAGTAGACGTACCTGAAAGCAGCAAGAAGGGGGGCGTAAATTGAGTCTCCATCGTACACGTAAAGGTGGTCCCAGCTGCATTCCGTGGCAAAGTGGTTGAAGCGTAATCGGAGTATAGCGTTAGGCCTGGAAAACACGCATGCAGAGGAAGAAGATGAGAACTTCTGTCTGGATTGGTCATTACAAACCAAACCCTTCTAACAGCAATATTAGTAGGAGGGATTTTGGTTGGTATTAAAGTAATGACCAACAAGTCTACCCATGTTATCAGTATAAGCCCAAATATCAGTAATTCACCAACACCATGTATTGGATGCATTCATATATGGAACCAAATACATTTTCTAACTCAGAGTACAAACACAGAGCTTGTAAGACAGTTGATCCACTTGCAAGTTGGTGCAACAAGCACACTTTCAAAATTATGACTTAACTATTGCGGTCTAGCATTGGAGTCGTTTTTTTTTTTTTATTAAACACAGTTCCAACTCATCCAACTCTGAGAAACCAGACACAAAAAAAACAAAAAAGACAAACAAGCCGGGTACACAAACTCAAAATGTTACTACCCATGCAACAGTTTTCTAAAAAAAAAATTATGTGGAATCCTGACAAACTGTATTTCATTATGTTTGAATATTATGCACCGGTACGTACGGCCATAATGTTATTTTGATAACGGAGTCTCGGAAACTATGGAAATGAGTAGCCTTGCCAACTTTCCTGCTTAGAATTCCAACTTAATTTCAAACAAAACACTCAAACTGCCATTCATGGTCGCACTAACGAGAGCTGCACACAGGTTTTGAAAGTTACTATTTCACTAGCTGAAGAGGCCGAGTGCAAAATGCAACACCCACATTCACTACATGAGCAGAATAAATGGGATTTTAAGAACATAAAAAGGCAGATAATTAACTAGGTGATATTGTAAAAACGTTCACCACCTACAACAAAACTTCACTAGTATTTGTCTGGTGGCAATTCCCCACCCTGTCTCCATACTTTTATGAAATCATAGAATATCTCATCTATGCAAAGTAGCTGTTAAATGTTATACTAAAAGTTGTCTTGTATAATGTAACAGATACAGTGCAATTGGTATTGCGCATTTTACATTGCAAAAGAGTGTTTTTAAGCACAAAGATACAGCAGACAGCAAAACAGGAAAAACATGCTCGTTTAATCAGGTTTTGATTGAATGCATTCAAGAGATCCTTAAAAAACGGTCTCTGCTTTAAATTTGGTTAACATTGCAAAATTAAATCATTCAAAAGAGGAGGGAAAAACACAAAGGCCCATTTAGCATTTCTACAATGGAGGGTACAAGATGTACAGGAAATATCTTCAAAATTGTATTTATTATAGCGAAGCGCCGGCTATTCCACCCTCCCCTAGCAGACAAATAAACTGAGAAATGAAAGCAGCCCCTATTTTAGATTAGAAAAGAAGGCTTGTGACTGATTAAATTAAAGAAAATCAAATGTAAGAAGTGTCTGGGGGGGATCTCACAAAGATCAGCCATTTCAGTCATTTTATTAAACATTTAGTCAGTTCATCAAACACACAGACAGCTTGGCTGTATGTCCAAGGCTTATAAAACTCTTTTAAAGTATTCTTGTCATTTTAATGCATATAGTGCACGTGCCTTTGCATTAACCTCCTGTTAAGAATGGGCTGAGGTCTCAAGACAGCATATGAAAGTGCCATTAGTATGTAATAAAAATGCTGGATGACAGTGTGAATGATGATTAGAGAAGCCATCAAGGAACAGGAGGGTCAGAAGTTCAAAACCCTGTAACATCTACACGTCCTGTCCAAGAGAACATTAGTGTGACCTCATGAGCCCCAACCAAGTCACCCACGGCTAATCCCTGTAAATGAGTGTTGGCCAAATGCCTAAAATGCAAATGTAATAAAAGAGTTTATGGTAGGGATGAGCTGGCGGCCAAAAGAATAAAGAATCATCGTTTAAAATCGATATTCTGTAGGGTGGTTTTGCTGACTAAAACAATAGAGGAGGAGTATTGAATTTCTTATGGTTACTTTGCCATTCATTTTCATCCATCATCTTCTGGATACTGTAAATTCCTAATGCTGGATGTATCTCAGTGAAGGACTGCAGTACAGACTGTATATAACAATCATTATGAGCACCGTTGCAATATTGAGTTGCTGCCTCGTTTTTCACAATCCATCTCTTAACTGTCTCAAGGTTTTAGGATTCCTTCCGTAGTCTTTTTTCATAATGGCAGCAGCAAATTTAATGGATGAAATAAAATAAAAAAAATCGGTTTTATACAGCGTGTCTGACACTGAAACCAGATGTGTAGGGTTTTTGCCCAGGACGATTTAAGCAGATGAGATGTTTGACCACCTCCAAAGATCATTTGAAAAATGGATTCATATTGCTTTTGGATCAACATTTACAACGTGTGCAACACATAAACTGTCTGGAGTATATTGATTAACTTGTCCTATTTCTAGTGCTGTTAAGGAAAAGATTTTCCAAACTCCTTAAGGAATTTGGTCAGTGTCGGACAGCTTCTCAGCTCTTTAAGAAAGTCTTTAAGGAGCAGTATAATTGCAATGTCCTGTTCTAATCTGGTATTTCTCCCCTGGTGTTGGATCTGCATTCTACTTACTGTCCTTCGATCAGCCAGGTGCACTTGGTCTTGTACTTATAGTTCCCTGGACCATCAGTCAGATGACCAGAGGGCCCCGTCAACCTGAAAGAAAGGAAGAGGAGAGAAAAAGAGATTTAAAGGTTACAGAATTAAAAAAAGGTGCGACTTTTTTTGGTTTATTCTAAAAAAGCTGAGATCCTGGAAACTGCGTCCTCTACTCCCAGTATGGGTGTGATGTGATGCGGCAGGTATGAGGTAAAACAAAGGCTGGCACCACTGAATCTTCCAAAATGCAAGCGACACATTAAAAAGCAGGATGAAAACAAGAAAAGAAAGCCAAATGGATCCACATGGAACTCATCACTATAACAGGAATATGTTTTTTTACCCATCAAACTGATTAAATCAAATCTTGAAAATGAGTTGTTCTAATGAAAAAAAGGATTCTGAAATCGGATCAGATTACCTAATCCAGTGCTGTTTTTGATCTGGATCAAACCTTCAGTTTATGTTGTTCAAAACTTTAATTTGATTGGAATCCCTTTGATCCAAAAAAATCCATATCCCAGCAGAAGGCTGGATTCAGTGTGGATTTTAGGAACAAAATGTCAAAACTTAAACAAACACTTTCCAAATAATAATACATAATAATACACCATTTTTAGTTTTATTTATTTTTTGCACTTGATTTGTTTAAACTTTACAATGATAAAATAGATAAAGTAGACATTTCCTATAAACCATTCAGTACAGTAAAAGAATAAATAATCCCCCAAACAGCTATCAATAGCAAACAAAAATAATGCATTTAATTTAAACTTATCACAGTAAATTAATTTTAAAAAAAGGCACAATCAACAGAGAACCATTCAAAAGTAGTTTGTAACAAGTTCATCCCTTATTGCAGGTCCAGTCATTCCCTCATTCGGAGATCAGCCTCTTAAAAGCCAAAAGCTGCTCTCTGAACTAGGATGATCTTTATTTTAACTATTGCTCAAAATATCCACAGTGTATCTGTGAATAATGTATATTTGTTAATTTTTCTTGGATATGTTGTGGGTCAGATGGTCTGACTGTTTAAAGAAAATGGAAAGAAATGTTTGTGTTGTTTTATTGTGCATTTTCTGTCTCTTCAAATAAAAAAAAAAAGTGACCCCACACTGGCTGTTCTACCTGTTGGTCTTTATATAATTAACAGCGTTGTGATCTGTAGTCCCATTTAGAGCACTGGAAATCCAGATTTGGTAATCCTTAAAAGTTTGTATCTGGATCAGGGTGATCCAATCCAATGTTGCTTTAAAAAAAACCAGTAAGAGGGGTTACGTGATCCTGGATAGCAAAACATGGGATTTCCGAATCCAGATCATTCTGATCCAACTTAAACTTATTGAACAACTGGGCCCTGGTCATTTATCAAGTAAAACTTTCTTTTCCAGCCTATGTGAGGACTACTGTTATAACTTCAATGTCCTTGTAGTCAGAAAAAGTTAAAGTGTTTTGTTCTTATACTTATATACACTAAATGTTTATTATACTTTATTTTTTTAATCATTACAATAATTTATTTTCAGTCAAAGAATTCCAGCACTAGAATATTGGTAAAAGTCAGTTTAGTAAACTTTGCAAAATCTGATATGAATTTCATGTCATTATCTAAAAATAATAATTTAAAATAAAATTTAAAATATTGACGTTTTAGTTATAATTTCTAAGCATGTTCTGTAGCAACCGTAGACATGATTACATAAAACATTGCTAAAGAGTAGGTCAGTAGAGCAGAGAGCACAGGTAAACACTGACTTCTGCCGCTTCACTTTTTAGTTCTTGGTAGGTGAGCAAGCAGCATATAGGGCGGCTAAGTGGCTGAGAATTAACCTCGAAGCAAATTATTATCTGAGGCCGACACCATGACAGGCAGCCGCAAACACTAATAGTACAGTAGTGTGCCCGGCCTCTGTTATTGCCTGATCAATTCCAGTTTGATGACACAGCAGCAGAGTGGAGCAGAATTACACAGGGGGACACTTAGATGCAGTCAGAGATTGTATCATTCCTGATGTAGGTCTCGCGGTGCAATGACTCTACTAACACACCCAGAAACAGTCTTGTTCCAAAACAGTCTCTCAGCACCGCTTCATACTAAAGTCTACTGAGAAAGCTGCAGAGAACACACTCCTCCCCTGCTCGGCTACAGGAGCCAGTTAAGGATCTGCGCAGCACGATGAATATACCAGCCTATAGAAACGCTTAAAAAAAAAGAAAAAAAAAAGAAAAAATACAGATAAATCATCAAGTGCTTGACAGTTTGACAAAATATATGTAACTTTTTTCAACTTAATGTGGATAAATTGAAGTCAATCAAAACTCCACTTCCATTTAGGCACAGATGAGATGAAATCTGTTTTTAGAAATCAAACATAAATTATACCCAGGACTTTTGGGGAAATCCTTGTTATTTACGGCAACTTCTTGTTATTGAAAGCTTTGCATGCCAATAGCCCCAGCTGTGTGAGCCAGGCAGCTCAAGAGTCCAAGGCCAAGGGTGTTGTTAAGTTAATAACAACTTCACAGGCCAATATATGACTCTACTTTGCAACTATGCTCTAATGCTGGACGCATTCATCAGCTCAAATCTCTTAGAGAGTCAGTAAAATAAGGGTTTAACCTCCAATTAGATATTATTTTTTGATGGAAACTGAACTTGTTGGATAAATTATTTCTCAAACCACACAGAATGCTTTGCTGAATATTGCTGGCTCACTGTTCGTACTGTACATGTTTGAAGAGACTAGTTTCATCCAGCCCTTTTCACAAGGCAAGTCTCAGTGGTTAGCTAACGAGTACACTAACGCTATAATTACACCTCTCTTAGTGTTAATACAGCCATGGGCCTGCAGGGACTCTCAGCTCTCCCAGCTAGCAGACAAACAGAGCTCCCTCAGAGGACGAGAGGCTCCAGACTGTCCTGAACCCAACAAAACACAACTCTCAAGCCTATAACTCAAATTATACTTTAGTGCTTTCTTAGCAGCACAAGAAAGAGAAATGATCCAGTGAACAAATCCCCACTTAAAATTTTAGCTGCCATGCTAGTACAATGTAGAAATGTCACTTTCTTAAAAAAAAAAAAAAAAAAAAAAAATGTCTTTTACTCAGGATAAGAAGAAAGTAGTTTCACTGCACATTTTCAAGTGGCCTTTTATTGTGGCCAGCCTAAGGCACATCTGTGCAATACCCATGCTGTCTGATCAGCGTCTTGATTTGCCACTCTTGTGAAATGGATGGATTATCTCAGCAAAGGAGAAGTGCTCACTAACACCGATTGACACATTTGTAAACAATGAGAGAAATAGGTCTTTCGTGTCCAAAGAGACAGTCTTAGATCTTTGAATTCAGCTCATGTGTATAAACAACTATGAGCACTTTTGATTTTTGATGTGGTCAGAGATACAAATTCATTCTGACCCTTGGCTGCCTATATTTTATTGTGTTGCAAGCAAGGACTTTTCCTGGAGTTAGGTCAATACATTTAAAAACATAAGGTGTGCTTTGGAACGGTCACAGGTACTGTAAAGTTCATGTGATTTGTAGCCAAGTAACAACCAAGCTATAAAAACATCAATATAGTCTTTTGACCCTTGTAAAGCATTATAGCACAGAATTAGTTTATGCTATAACTGTCAGTTTCTGCACCTGTGTCCTACTATACTTAAAATAAAATCTTGTCAAACAGAAGATGTCAAAAATGAGCCAGATAAAGAATAAGCCAGTGGGTGCCTGTACTGTATTGACATTAGTAGAGCTTTGCATTCACAGTAATGTCCAACAACGGCTCCTTCTCATGCAAACAGTATCCCTGCAGCAGAGCCAAGTGCTCTGCAAATGGCAAACTGGTGCGGCGTGAGAGCAGAGCAAACACCATTTCTCATTCAAAGGCGGCAACAGTCGTGTGCTCAGACAGAGTAAATGCTACAGAGGCAAAAAAGGTTTCCCCCTCTGACTGTCTAACTGGACTTGGAGAAGTTGCTGATATGAGATTTTAAGTCAATTAGGGAATATTTGGGGTGACAAATTACACTTTGTATTGGGATATAGCATAATAATAGTGATGGACATAATGGATCATTTCACATAAGTTTGTTTTGTTGTTGTTTTTTTAAATGACCCAGGCCTAGAAGGAATTGCTTGTGTGCAGTCTAGGGTTGAGTGTGGTACATAAAATATGCACTCAAAATAAGTAAATAAATATGCAACCCTCCTTTGTTAATGTTGTCATGCCAAAATATTTAAGAGATACATAAGATGATATAAAGTTACTCAGCAGCAGCCACGGAGGAGGAAAGCTGTGAAACATGGCTGGCAACAAATCTACAGAGGCTGTGCGCCCAAAACCTGCTCATGAAGTTTTAAGTCAGTTTTATTGTGTAATAAATATTTCATAAATTATTAGAAGTGGCCATTTTCCAAGTTACTGTGCTTCCACACCTCAGTGTTTTTAACTTGAGTTACAGTTGCACTTTGAGAGCTTTTTAATGTACAAATCTATCCTTTCATCAGCCTTAAAATGCATCCCATCCCCACTGTAGATTCACCTAATCTGCACAAACAAAATTCTATCCTTTGATATGCAGTATCACAGATATGCTGAATGCAGTTTACTGATGCCACCTTACAAGATTTCTATACTGACATTCAGATTTTTTAAATAGATTACCCACTGCCATTTCAGCCACCGTGGCCTCCATCCAATACCTGCGGTTAAAACGTCATAAATCCCTTTTCTGGGTTTGGGTAGCTGTGGAAAGGGATGGGACGAATTTCTGTGCCTGTGCATAAGTAAGCTGAAAAATAATACATCAGTAGTGCAGCAGTGGGAACCATTAGTCTCTGCAGAGGGCAGGCAGACTGGTCGCTCAGCGGGGCCTTTAGTAAAGCGAGGTCAGCCTTCAAACAGGTTCCAGAGAGCGCCTGAGGATGAACGTGGACCAATATGCAGACTACACAAGAGACAACAACAAAGCCAACAACAAAGCAACAAGCTATGAAACTGAATATACAAGAACAAAAGCTGCTCTCAGGCCAGGACAAATGTATCAGCAGTG